GAGGAGGAGGAGGAGGAGGAGGAGGAGGAGGAAGAGCAGCACGCAAAGACGATACCACAATGACAGCGCCCGGAGACCCGGACAAAGAATGCAGCACCCAGGCACCTAGCATCACCAGCCCTCGAAAGCAAAAGCTAGACCAAGCCCAAAGCCGGGACCAAACCCACACAGTTACATCCCAATCCCCATCCGCCACCACCCCCTTGGGAGCTATGAAGGAAAAAGCCACCGCCCTTCTCCCCCACCTTAAAAGAATCGCAACGACCCATCCCCTTCTCGCCACCTTTCTCCTGGCCCAGATCATCTGCTCGGGTATCCCCCTGTGCCTGGTATTGGGCGGCGTGATGATGGCGGCGAGTGTGGCTGCTGCGGTGGTGGCGGGACTTGCTATGTTGGTGCTGGGACCAGTGCTGGTGGTGACGTTTTTGCTGGGGTTAGGGGTTTGGGGGTGGGGGTGGGCGTTGGTCTGGTTTTGGCGGAAGGTGGGGAGAGTTGTTAGGGGGGAGGAGGAGGAGGGGTTGGGAGTCTTTGGGGTTGATTTGAGCAAATTAGTTGAGAATAATAGTCGGAGTGAGAAGGGGGCTGTGGATAAGGGTGGAAATGGGGATCAGGATGGGAGTGGGAAAGTCATGGGTTGAGGGTGCACTGTTTGTGTTCTAATTCGGATTGAAAATGGGGTGGAGTTAAGTGCGTGTCTGAGTGGGTTTTGGACCTTGAGCGGGTGTTTGGATGGATGTATAGTGTCGTGGCTTTCTTGATACTTATGGTTGTTCTGTTCTTAATGACTATGGGCGCTGTGAGGGCGAAGTGTTGAGCAGCCGTGAGGAGTCTAGCTGGACTGTAAGGACGTGAAAGACAACTTCTATGTTCTATGTTATCTGTTAAGGTATAATGAAGCAGCTCAAATGACCTCGCACCCGGGCATTGCTACGTCTACCGTCTCTGCTTCTCCTGCACTTCTGCCCATTTCACCCACCGTCGGATGCAATCATCCACCCGCTTGAGCGAGCTCTTTTCCGCCGTTACCTCGAACCACTCCTTATGCTCCCTGCCGCAGTCCGAGCACTTACCCATATCGCGCACCCGCACATCCGCCAGCTCCAGGTGAATCAGCCGCTCGACACGGTGGACGTACGGCACCTTGCGGCCCGGCTCGAGGGCTTCATTGTCGTGGCCGCCACCCCCCAACCGCGACGGAGACGGCTGCGGCGTCGACGGGGTGTACGGGTAGTACCTGATCAGGGTAAGGTGGTGGCTGCACTGACGGGACCATTCATTCAGTCTGCGTTGGACGTTGTTCGCCCGCCCAATCTTCAGTCGAATGGTGCCTGGGCTGGTGGCTGTCGGGGCTGAGGCCAAGGCGCGGAGATCCCGCGCCGTGTGGATTGCGTCGCTGATGCGGCGGTCGCGCCCCGCCGGCGTGGAGGAGGACTTGGGCGGCAGCAGCGAGCTGGCGACCTCTGCGGCCGGTGGGGGCAGCTCGCGCGTCGTCCCGTCGCTGCCATCGACGGGCGTCACCCAGAACATGTAGATGTAGCCGGGTTCGTCGGCTTCGGAGATGGGCTTGTCGAGCTCGGCTTCGAGCATGGAGGTTGTCTCCGCGGTGAGGCTCGTGGGGATCCAGTTCTCAGGGATCCCCGAGGAGGTGGAGGAGTGGTGGGATGTTTGCGCGGATGGTCGGGTCTGGTTGTAGCCGGGCGACAGCAGGTTGGGCTGCGGCGGTTGCGACGACGGTGGCCGGGCTGAGACGGGCCTGGGCGGTCTGATGTCCTCCTCCTCGATTACTTCGAAGCAGCAGCAGATCGTGCGCTTCTTTTGTCTTTTCTGGGGCTTGGGTCGCGGGCGCCACTTCTCGGAGGCCCCGGGCGGCGGCGCGTTGTTGATGTTGAGCACTCCTAATCGGTCCAGCAGAGTATCGATGCTGGTGCGCGGCTTATTGGGATTCGTAGTAGACGCGGTGCTGGGGGTGACGCTGGCCGCTTGGTCCTTATGCTGCCAGCAGTACTGGTCGGCCGGGTCTGCGAGCGCGCGACGGCATGGTCGTCCGCTGTTGGTCAACCCTTGGCAGGTGGTCGCCGGGTCGAGGGAGTCTGTGCGAGCAAGAAGGGCTTCCGGAGTGTTGGCGATGATGGGCATGATGGGAACGATACAGTCAGAAAGGCAGCAGGAGGCGCAGACATGTCGTGCCTTAATATGATGTCGTCGGCCATGCCCCAGGCGCAGGCGCCAGATCCACCGTCGCGTCTAAGCCGAAACACGAGGCAGTGAAAAGCACTGACCAAGCCCACACAGAAAAAAGGAGATCAGAGGCAGTCTCGCAGGGCATGACGTCGCCCTATTGGATGAATGGTCATCCTTTTCCACCTAAGGCAAAGGTTTGCATATTTGTCGGCAATGAAGATTCTGACGGAGACTTCATGCATTGCACAGGCGGGGGGGAGGTGGAGGTGGAGTGGTTGGAGACCCTGGGGAACAACAAATGGCCAGTTAGTGGGAGAGATAGTAGACTTGTCAATGCAGGACCTAAAAACAGGACTTACTTGTTTTTTCCTTTTTATTTTCTATTTTTCCTTAACTTTTTCTACATTTTTTTCTTATTTCTCCTTTTTTTTTCGGATTGCGTTGGCCACTAGTGAGGAGAGTCAGGTATATTCGCTGGTGTTTACTCCTGAACTTGGACTGCAGTCAAAAATTGGGCGCACCGCCTCAGTGGCGGATGATCGCCCCGCTCCAAAGGCAAAATATCTCAGAGCCGACGATTTTGTCTGTGTAGGTCTGAGGCAGAAGATCATAGCCTGTCAACTACAGTGACATGACAGACGGTCACTTGAGGCAAACTCCGGAATTGCTAATCCCTTGATGTCTCGACATCGGGTAAATAGTGATTTTACACACGGCTAGTGAGAGCTTATATTATAGCAAGTGTTACTGTCCGCCTACTAGAAGGTGGTGGCACAATGAACCTAGAGTCTGGTAGCTATAGTCGACACTTGCTACTAGCTAGACAACCCTACAGGCTATCCCACGTAGTCGAAGCCGGCACCACGGCACTTGACCCAGAAAGTGCGGATCAACTGACTGGTCTGCATTTTAGCCCCCCTGGCGGCCAACAATGACGCAAGGAGGCGCTGTCGTTCTTCTGGCGAGACAGATGGCCGCTGGTGTTGATCGACCACCTCGTCCAACCCGGCCAGCGCCGCAGCAAGGTGCGGCCGGGCTGCTCCCTGTTGTTTGAATATGACCTTACGAAGCACTTCGCACAGGTGTTCCAGATCAGACCGGGCACATCTACCGGCGAATTGACTCATCAGAATCCGACAAATAGCGGGCAGACATTCACGGATAGCATTTTGAATAGCTGGGTCGTCGCTGGGGAGGTTCAGCACGCTCACCCAGAACTGCGAAGCGGAGCGCAATGGCAGGGGTTCGGGGCCCTGTAGAGAGATAAGTGTGAAGTTCAAGATAGCTTCTAGAACGGACGGTCGCTGTTGACTAGTGGTCTGGCCGGGTTCCTGCGGTGCAGACGTGAGCGCGAAGAGGAAAGAATGGTATTTCGGAAGCAAGCGCGTCAGGAAGTCGATTCCGCTGTTAGCGACTTCGGGGTCATAGCACTCAGGTTTCTCATGCATCCAGCAGAATGTGTCATAGACGTGAATGATCAAGGCAACTGTTTCATCACGAATACGCTGGGGATGCGAACTATGGGATGCAAGAAAAGCCGAGGCTGTACCCATAACTATGTCGGTACCCGCACTACCTAGTGGGATACTCTTCACAAAATTGACCGTCATCATCGGCGGAAATACGTAAGGACCGGTCCTCTCAGTATAGCCGGCTTTGAGTATGTCGCATGCAGCCTCGATGATCGCCACATCCACAGGGAAGCCAGTCATGAGCAGCTGCATAGATTCCATGATGTGGCTCTGTACAACAGCACCGCTACCCATATTCCAGAAGGTCGGCGGGTAAGCATCGGCTTCCTTATCGTCATTCGAGTCCAAATTGATTTCTCCATCGGCTCGGAGACCCTTGCCGACACTGGCAATGCATCGTAATACCAGCTGAGCATGGCTTTGAGCTTGCTCGATGAGTCCATTGACGACTTCTTCTCGCGCTGCGGTTGCTTGCTCATGAAAGATCCGAAGAATCCTTTCCAGATATGGAGCCTTTGCTTCATCCTCAGGTACCGTTTGGATGATTGCAGCGATGCCCTCTAAAACCTTCTCCATAGTCTGGGCTGTAGCAGTGGGTTTGAAGCGGAAGCTCTCGAATTGGTCGATAAAGGCCGGAAGCTCGAGTGTGAGAGCATTGCGACATGAATTGCAGAGATATGCGATCGACCTGGACGCTGCTGGCGCGCAAGGGCCAACATTAAGGGACGCGAAGAGAAATGTTAATACCCGGGGTAGCAATGCCTGTGTTCGTTCAAAGTATGATTGATATTTCCCAAGCATGTCCACTAGAGTCTGGCGTGGTTTGTCTGGAATAGCCACCCCGTTTCCTTCGCATAAATTGGCGAATTCATCACAAAAGAATATTGAATTCAGACATTCGTCAGCATGCTGATTCTCATCAACCGCCTCAGACAGCTGAGCAACGCAGAAGATGGCGGCCTCAAATGTTCGCCAGTCTTGCTGTTGGAGTGACGATCTCGCTCGCTCCTGGAAAACCTGTACCAATTCTACCCCCAGCATTGGATAGATCGCTAAAAGAAAATCACAGACGTCGCGCCGGAAAGCCCCGAATTCATTACGATCATCATCGCCCCAGCTCTGCAACTCTTCCGGAGTGGGATATTTGAGTTTCTCAAAACAGTCCAGGGCTGCACGGGCAAGATTGTGCTTTGCAGGTTCAAGCCCCGCTTGTTCTTCTGAGTCCAGGTATATTTCCTGAAGGTCATCTGCCACCTCAGTCCACCATTCGAGAACCAAAGGGGAGGCCGAATCGTCCACCGATGCATAACCAGGAGCTTTGAACAGCATGTGCAGCAGAGCAAGAACCTTGTCATGTTGCGGATCCAGTGGTTTTGTTAGAAGGTCTCTTTGCTGTAGTGTTGAATATGCTAGTAAAAGCTCCAAGAATATCATGTTCTCGTCCTCGAAATCGCCTTCCATGAGTGAAGCGATATGCGCAGTACCATAATCGCAAACGATGTAATCTAAGATGGCACTAATGTGCTCCGGGCTGAAGATAGTATCCCGCCAGTCTATCAATTCGACCAGAACTTCTGTCGCGGTTTTCGACAAAGATGGAATGCTCATGCATTGAATCACGTGAGTTGTGGTCGGTGCTAGTTGGGATACAGGTATCGTGTCGCGGAGTTGAAATGCGCTCCGTACATACATCCAGGTCTACAACACGAATGTCAGATGGAACGAGAGTATAGGAGACAAGTGCGCTCACCTGGTAGGAACTGATAACTTCAGTGCCCAAGTCGTCACCATCAGACAAGTGAGCTCCGGATGCGACTTGCTGCAGAATGTGGCCAAGAACAACATCGACGAGTACAAAAGCGTCCTTGATATTCTCGGCGATGGGGTGATCATCGCGATTACGACGGGCTTCAGAGCTCCACCGATGGATCTCCTCTCCAAGGATATTAGAAAAGTATAGCAAGGAGGTTACCTGCCGCTCGGACAAAGCTGGAAGCACAGTATGCCTGAGGTCAACATCCTTGCAGTGTTCCTCTGAGACATGCTTCCCATTTGCTAAGGAAGCCGCCAGGTTGCAAAGGGCCCGTGTCCAAGGAGCGTTGGGTTTCAGAAAAATGGTCGCTAAGCTGGCAGCTAGTTTTCGTACTACCAGAGACCGTTCTCCTCCATTGACTAAGATGACATAGTGTTCTATCAGTCGTCCTAGTAGCTCCTGGGCCTCTTCTGTGCTCAAGTGTTGCCTACGATCAGAGTTAGCAGGTTGCGCACAGTGCTATCATGTGGTGGGCGCGCACCAGTCCTGGTTTATTTTTACAGTGAAAGTCAAAGCTCCGAAGAATCTCAAATCAGTGTTATCCTCCGCGAGAAGATGATTTGCAATCAGCCATGCTTGAGGGCCTTTCTGAAGACGTTGAAGGTGTTCCTGGATCGCCTTTATTTTGGCGGGGTTGCCAGTATTTGCCGGATCATAAAGTTGCGACACTAGCTGGAAATAGGAATGAGATCAGCACTTATCCTGCAATTGACGCGTGCGAACAGCTCAATTTACCGTCTTTGCCTCATTGATGAGCAGGAGCACATCCGAGGCTTGACCTGGAATGTCCACAGACATGGCCGCGACACTGGTGGCCTCCTTGCAAGAAGAAAGAAGGGTATAGACTGTAGATGATGAGCGATAGCTATATTTAAGGGGTGTCACGTGCTGATAACACTACTACCGAAGGGCCAGGCGGTGAGAAGTGGGATGGAGGGGAAGGAAGGGCTCTGGGATATAAATGTTAATCCGACAGGATGAAAAATAGCTGATCAGGTTGGCATTTGGGTGAAAGCATGTGGCTTGGCTGGGCCAACAGTTGCAGACTATTATTCGATTTCCAACCAACGGGCCATGATCGAACAACGCTTTGTCTTAGAATACCGTTTGACCTTGATTGAAAAATCCAATAGTCTGGACTGATTGAGTCTGCTCTCATGTGAGCATAAGCAGGCAGTAATCATTAATGAAGAATCATTAATGAAGTGCAGAAAAGTTACCGTGCGGTAATTGACGATACCGATCTCGTGGCATTTACCCACTTCCACCGTCGGCAAAGAGAGGCCGGCCGAAGGGCCCACTTGTAATCTGCCACCGGAGCTCCTACGGGGGACTGAACTTCCCTTACGTACTCGCTACTCCTCACCACCACCACCACCACCACCACGACTCAAGATCATACCTCCAGATTTGACCAACTAGTAACGACCTTATCCTCCACTATCGCTGTCTCTTGTGCACACGAATAGTTATCCCGTATCTTTTACCCTTCCCCACCCACCCACCCACCATCGCTACCTCGCCTACCTTCGGCCTAGGTCCTTGCGTGCTCTGTGCAACCCCAACTTAATAAGATCCCATCTCTTCCACCGGACACTTGCAGCTGTCCTTTGCAATCGCTCGCCAGTAGATGCTTTTTTCGCACCCTCCTATCCGCCTTTCTTGGATCTCAGCTTTCCGATCGGCTCGCAAGTTACCCCTTCCCCGTGCAAGGCCCTTTTCCAGCTCCACCCCGCGCTTTATCATCGACATGGAGACCGTCAATACCTCAGAGCGCCTGGCCAAGTTGAGGCAGTTGATGCAGGAGCACAAAGTGGATGTATATAGTACGTACTCAATGAAATCCCATCTCACTCTGATATCAAAACTCTTACCGTTTTTTTTTTCTCCCTCAAATAGTCGTTCCTTCAGAAGATAGCCACCAGTCGGAGTATATTGCGCCATGCGACGGCCGTCGAGGTTAGAACACCAACCGTTTTGTCCCTTCCACGCCTCTCTCTACCACCCTCTATCGAATGCAGGATAACTCACACTACGCTCGATAGAATTTATTTCAGGTTTCTCCGGTTCGGCTGGAACGGCCATCATTTCTTTGTCCAAGGCCGCATTGTCTACGGATGGCCGCTACTTCAACCAGGCTGCCAAGCAGCTTGACAACAACTGGGTTCTGCTGAAGCGGGGTGTCGAGGGTGTTCCGACATGGCAAGAATGGTATGAAGGTCAAAACACAGCTGCTCTCGGGCCCGGGAGCTAACCTTTGATTCAGGACCACGGAGCAGGCTGAGGGCGGCAAGGTGGTTGGTGTTGATCCAGCTTTAATCACAGCCTGTAAGTGGGGCAGTTCGCTTTGGGAATGGCAAATGCCTTTGAAACTGACTGTCTTCAGCGGGTGCTCGTAGCCTTTCAGAGACCTTGAAGAAGAAGGGATCGTCCCTCGTTGGTGTCCAGAATCTTGTCGACATGGTCTGGAAGGATGGCAGGCCAGCTCCTCCCAGGGAGAAAGTCACGGTCCACCCGGAGAAATATGCTGGCAAGAGCTTCCAGGAGAAGATTCAAGATCTGCGCAAGGAATTGGAGAACAAGAAGGCTGCTGGAATCGTTATCTGTGGGTGATCACCTACCCTGGTTCCTTGTCCGTCTTGTTCTGGCATGGCTAACAAAACATAGCGATGCTGGATGAGATCGCTTGGCTCTTTAACCTTCGTGGCAACGAGTAAGTTTTTTTTCGTGCTTGGCTGTGTGCTTGGCTGTTACACTGCATCTATGCAAGGCTCATTGACCCGTCTCTAGTATTCCTTACAATCCTGTGTTCTTCTCATACGCCATCGTTACCCCCACCACTGTCGACCTTTACGTCGACGATGACAAGTTGACGCCCGAGGTGAAGGCTCACCTTGGTCAGGATGTCGTCATCAAGCCATATGACTCGATCTTCGCGGATGCCAAAGCACTAAGCGTGTCACTGAAGCAGCAAGCCGAGGGCGCGCCTACCAAGTTTCTTGTATCTAACAGGGCTTCCTGGGCTCTAAGTCTTAGCCTTGGGGGTGAGGATCAGGTCGACGAGGTCCGTAGCCCCATTGGGGATGCCAAGGCAGTCAAGAACGAAGTTGAACTTGCAGGCATGAGGGCCTGCCACATTCGTGATGGTGCCGCCTTGTCGGAATACCTTGCCTGGCTGGAGAACGAGTTGGTGAACAAGAAGACAACTCTGGATGAGGTTGATGCTGCAGATAAGCTGGAGCAAATCAGATCCAAGCACGATTTGTTTGCTGGTCTATCTTTCGACACCATCTCCTCGACGGGTCCAAACGGTGCCGTCATCCACTACAAGCCCGAAAAGGGAAGCTGCTCCATCATCGACCCTACCGCCATCTATCTCTGTGATTCTGGGGCCCAATATCTGGATGGAACAACTGATGTGACCCGCACCTTCCACTTCGGCAAACCTACCGACCTTGAGAAGAAGGCATTCACCCTTGTGTTGAAGGGCCTCATTTCCATTGACACTGCTGTATTCCCTAAGGGCACTAGTGGCTTTGCGCTTGATGCTCTTGCGCGACAGCATCTGTGGAAGGAGGGTCTGGATTACCTCCACGGAACCGGGCATGGAGTCGGCTCGTACTTGGTGAGTCTTAAGAAGCGCATATGGCATTTTCACTCAGCTAATTCAGCGACAGAACGTGCACGAAGGACCCATCGGAATCGGCACGCGCGTGCAGTACACCGAAGTCCCCATCGCTCCTGGCAACGTCATTTCCGATGGTATGTTTGTTATATCCAATTTTGAGCAAGCCAGAAGCTAATTCAAGCAGAACCTGGCTTCTACGAAGATGGAAAGTTCGGAATTCGTATTGAAAGTGAGTATCTCATTACGGGAGAAAGTATGCCTTTAGCTAACGCTGCCTTAGACATCATCATGGCACGCGAGGTGCAGACGGCGCACAAGTTCGGTGACAAGCCTTGGTTGGGCTTCGAGCACGTCACGATGGCCCCGATCGGTCAGAACTTAATAGAGCCCTCCCTTCTCACTGACGCCGAGCTGAAATGGGTCAATGATTACCATGCTGAGGTCTGGGAAAAGACTCACAAGTTCTTCGAGAACGATGAGTACACCCGAGGTTGGCTTCAGCGTGAAACTAAGGCCATTACCAAATGAGCCTGCTAGTTTCTGATAGTTATACTATAAACCTAGATTTAGAGCCTACAGCCAATATCATACCTAGATCTATGGTTAGTACTCTTGTCGAGTTCAGACTTTCTGTGACAGAATGATCTGTACCGGTCCGCTTCTATGGAACATAAAGATATTGTAGCAAGGAAAGAAATACCCAAAAGGAAAGTGTCGGGCAAGTTATAATTAAGCATTCACACTGTACCCCGACGGTTGCGAAGCCAAGCGGCCTGAAGGTGGGCGGAATGTGGAGCAACGGGCCAAGCGACACCTCGCGGGATCGAGCAGCTCCGATGTCTACAACAATCTCACCCACGTCCCTTTAAGTCTTTTGTATCCCGATATAGTTTCCGAGCTTCTCCTTCAATCAGACTTGTTGAAGTCAGCGCTCTGACTTCCCTTCAACATTGATCCTTCCTGATAACGACCATGCTTGTTACCTGCTTGCTCAACTGCGCCAGTGCCTAGAGTTACGGAGCTCGAGCACCTAGCGACCGACTACTTTCCTTTTAACTGTACACAACGCGCGACGAGCAATCGAGACTACTTATACCTCTTTTACATCTAAGTTCAGTGACCTGGCATGAGCGGCCGAAACCCCTACGCGAACGGATACGGATACTCCGACACCAGCCGCTACGACCGCGGCGACGGCGGCGGCTATGGCAGCAATGGAAGCAACAGCTTAGGAATGAATGGGTACGGAGACGGAGGAGGAGGAGGTAACAACGGTGGCTCAGGGGGACACGACCTTCGTCCTGGAGGCTATGGTGGCTTCTACGCCGAGGCGTCGCAGTCCTCTCTCTCTCCGGCTCAATCCCCGGAGCGCCGACGAGACCGATGGGACCGCGACCCCGAGCATGCGTCATCGCGATCCAGAACACGAGAGGGGGATGCAGAGAGGGCAACACTGGGTTCACGAGACGGTCGGGCGCGCGGAGAGACGAGTTGGCTGGGAGGAGGCAGCAGCAGCCGCGAGAGGGAACGAGAACTGAACACCGTCGCCCGCGCCGGAGGCAAGGGAGGCTCCCAGGCCATTGAAGGTGCGAAATACCAATTAAGGGTCTCTCCTCAGCAGCGACGGATGCATTGGGCCAATCGTGTCTAACCTTCTTTCGGAATTGGTAGATGTTTTACAGATGGTCCAGCGCGATTGGGCCTTCGTGGCTTCTGAGAGCTGTGTCCCGGTGCAAGTGGCTTTACAACTCATGGACACGAGCACTTTGGGCAAGGCGGAGCGTGAACCAGAGTTCCTTGAGATCCACGATCAAATACAGCGGACATTGAAGTCAGTTGTCAATGGTGGGTTTGCTTGGGTCCGATGTGAACCATACATCCGTATCGATGCTGACCTCACTCGCCAGAACACCATCAGGGCTTCAATAGCTCTATCGGTACATACCACAAGATCCAGACGAGCATTCAGACTTCACAGACTCGAGTTCGCAATCTGAAGAATGCCCTCGAAGGAGCCAAATCGGGCTTGCTGTCAACTAAGCCTGAACTGAAAGGGCTGGCTACTTCCTCTCAGAAATACGACGATATCATTCAGTTGTTCAGCCAGATTCAGGAGATACAATCGCTTCCGGAGAAGTTGGAATCCCGCATCTCAGACAAGCGTTTCCTTGCTGCTGTTGAAGTGCTACATGATGCGCTGCGGCTTCTGCGACGCTCCGAGCTCGAGAACATTGGTGCGTTGGCGGATATCCGCGCTTATTTCGGGAGCCAAGAGGCTTCGTTGACAGATATCTTGATCGAGGAATTGCACGATCATCTGTATTTGAAGTCTCCATACTGCGCGAATCGATGGAAGCCCCCGACAGCTGACGGAGAGGGTAATGGTGTCAGTTCATCTAGCTGGTCCGGTAACAGCTCCTGGGAACGCCCTGTCTACAACTTCCTTGCCAAGCTGGATGCCTCCAACCCAATGGTGGAGGATGCTTCTCGGAACCCAGAAGCCGACACGTTCTACTACATTCAATTACTTATAGAAGCGCTCAACAAGATGGGTCACCTTGACATCGCGGTCAACTGCATCGAGCAGAGACTCCCTGTTGAACTTTTTTCTGTTGTTGACAAGACGAATGCTGAAATTGATGTGCGTTACCCGGATCTGACGTCTACGCGTGGCTTCGCAGCCCAAGACAGCAGAAGCGGCGTGGCAACAAAGACCATTGAGACGCGTGGTCATGTTCTGTCTGAGTTCCTGTGGACATTGTACGCCAAGTTTGAGTCCATCGCTGAAGGCCACCGCGTCGTCCATGATGTGATCGCCGCCATTGTGGCCCGGGAGGGCATCCCCAAGGGCAACACGCTTGGTGGTGGTTTCAAGGAGCTGTGGAAGCTTTATCAGAGCGAGGTGAGAACTAACTCTGCGACAAAGCTGCGTGTTGCTGCTGACGTCTGTTTAGATCCGCTCGCTATTGCATGACTATCTGGCTACTGACGTAGAATATCGACCGAGAGACGAAGACGACGCTAGACGTCAGATCTACACGGGCCAACGAGACAAGAACAAGGTTTGTTCAGAGACTTCGGGTGAAAAGAGCCAACACTCACTGTTTGCAGAAAATGTTCAAGCTATCCGAAACGGACCAAACAACAGAGATTCAAGCCGAGCAGTCCGAACTCGACGAGATTCTCAGGTCATCGGTGCCTGGCTTAGTGACCAAATCTAACCAGAAATTCGCAGTGACTGACTCCTCTGATGTTCGACAAGGCAACTCAGGCACGGGCCACAAGATACTTATTGAACCCAGTGTTTTCAATATCAGTCTCCTGTTGCCTCCGTCTTTGTCGTTCATTCAACGGCTGAAGGAGATTGTGCCGGTGGATTCGGATCTTGCCATGACCACATTGACGTCCTTCCTCGATGACTTCTTGGTCAACGTGTTCCTGCCTCAGCTTGATGATACCGTCACAGACCTTTGCACTCTTGCTATCGTCTCGACCGATGCATTCACAGAAGACCCACAATGGTCCACGGTCTCACCTCGACCCGTCTTCAAGGTATTTACTCTGACTTGAGACATCGAGTTTCATACTGATTGCGTTGATTCAGGGCGCGGTCAAATTCATGTCGATCATCCAGGAGTTCAGCAAAATGCTCTCAAGTATTCCCCAAGATCAAGCCTTCACGCAGCTTCTTCTCTCCCAGATCGTGACTTACTACGACAAATGCTGTGGATGGTACAAAGGTGAGATGCTAGCTCCATTGGAATACCTACAAATTTGGCTGACTCCGGTGATAGCGTTGGTGACCAAGGTCTCTCCGCGAGATAATGGAGAGCCACGGCTCAAGGCTGCTGCCGGCTTTGCTAAAGCAGGAGATGTTCATGATACTGTTGTCAGTCTCTGGAAAGAGGCGACCAACGACAAGTGGGCGCTTGTCGATAAGGTACTGTGGCCGAAATGGTTTCATCATGAGATATCACTAACCAAACCAGGAAATTGCGCTCCTTCTCCAGCTTACGTCTGAGGTCCCATTGGAGCCGTACGACATTATATCCGACCCCAAGACCGTGGTGGCTTTGTCACTTCTCTACAATAGCATGGTCAGTTCCTATGCTCGGTCTAAGAGCTTTTGTGTGTGCTGACTTCGAGACAGCAATGGTTCACAAGCCATCTTGCCCAGTTGCGTCAAATCATGCCGCCCTCTTCCGAAGCTCGGCGCCCCGAGACTGGGCCTCCCAACCGTCGTTGGACCTTGATTGGGGCGATGAAGTACAAAGTCGACGGGGTTAGCCAGCCGATATACCTGCCATTGAACCCGGAAACCGCAGTTATCTTTGACAATACACTTGAGTCACTGCGCGAACTGGCTTACACTGCTCTGTTCGCTCTTCATATTGGTTGTCGGTGTGGTGTCATTCATATGTTGAAGAAAACGATGGCAGGACCAAATCCTCGGAACCAGCGCGCTTCTGAGCCCACGACACCGGCTCCCAGCAGCACCGCCCATTGGTGGCATATTCTGATGAACCAGCCCACTGCTGCATCGCCGACAATTTTAGAATTGAATCGTGACTTGATAAGCTTCGACAGTAACATCTCCACCTACCTTGGACCCTCTGAACGATGGTTCATCACCTCAGGGCTAGCTCGCTTCATCGATCAGACGTTCGTGGCCAACACCCACCTGATTGGGGCCATGAACGAGAATGGCGCATTGCGCCTTCAGTTGGACGTTCTCGTTCTGCAGCAGAATTTGAAGAATATCATCATCGATCCCCAACATGATCCGGCCCACAATGGGGACTCCATCCCAGGCGAGGAGCACCACGAGGTGGTCGCCCTCCCGCGAAGCGCCAAGTTTCTCGACTGGTTCCTTGAGGGTGCAGAGAAAGCACTCGACTACGCGAAGGAGGAGAAGGAATCGTTTGCTGCGCATGGAGAGCAGGCGCTGGCCGCTGGAAACGCGGAGCCTTTTTCGTACGAAGAGCTCAAAATACTGATCGACCTCTGCTTCTCGGATGCATTGCTCGGACCCCGAGGAGCGGAAAACCGGGAGGAATTCATGGCGGCCAAGAAAGCCAGTGCGGATGCTCTGCTGCGGTTGAATGAGGTGATGTGGGACTCGAAATAGGATTGCATACGCCCACAGCGAAAATATGACCTCTCTTCATAATTCCACATTGTATTGTAGCTCAAGGGGGTGGGGGGTGAGTTATGGAGCCCAGGACGGTGATGAACCGACCCACTTGCCAGCAACGCCGAAAGTTGTCCACATAATTTTTATGACTGTCCCAAGCAGTGACCAGTGGTTTGAAGAAGAACATGTCTCTTGGGGTGGGACGTGACTTGTGAATATCAATAACCGACGCATCACACGAGAGCCCCTGATTGAAACCCACCGAACAAATTGTGAGACAGGTTGGCTTAGTGCGCCTAGTGCTTAGTGCTTAGTCTGATAACGGTCTAGAGTCAAGGTGGCCGTTTGCGAAGAAATCTCCGGGGTGGGTCTGACTGGAGTAGTTTAAATTAATTCTCAATCTCAACGCGTGAACTGATTGACTTTGGTCGATGGAATGATCAAATTGATCCCCATCCGGTGTTTCACCTCGCGATCTCATTTCCCACTGGCATCCAACCCTAATGGTTGCTGCCTTGCCACCGTGCCTTTTCCGCCCGTTGACATCCTGTTACTCCCCGAGTTTCATTTCCCTGATATTGCTGACAATGGGGCAACCATGATGCTGCGATGGACCGATCATATTGTCTGGACCATGGGGCAAACATTCTATGGAGTATGCGCCTGGAGGAGGTTCCTTTTATTCCATGGAATCCCGAACGGCTCCCTTCTTAAGCTCTTCTCTTCCTTCTTTCTTTCGTTTCTTTCTCCTCTATCTCTCGGGGACCACTCACTCTGTCCGGAACAGCCGATCTATACTATAGTCCTAGGATTTGATATCCAGGCGTCCATTCTTTCTCAAACCACCTCAGTGTTGACACTTACACGTTCTTTTGCCACCTTGGCTAACCACGAGAGCCTCTTCCATTCATTATTCCCTGTTTGAAACACCGTTCCTTCCATCTCAACCATGAAGTACGAACGTCTTGCCTCCCTGGGTCTTGTTGCCCTTGGTGCCCTTTCCTCCGTGTCTGCTCGGCCCATTGAGATCCCCGATGACGATGAGTGGGACTGTGGTGAGGACGAGGTCGCTGTCAGCACCTACTACAAGACCCTGACTGTTGCGGTGACTCCCACTGCTGCCGCCGCGGTCGAGACCTCTACCTTGTCCGTGATTGTCCCTACTACTGTCGTTGCCACTACTACTGTCGTTGCCACTACGGCTGCTCCTGCTGCTGTCGAGGCCACTTCAGTCGTTCAGGCTGTGACTGTCAGCACGGCCGAGGCTGCTACCACTGCTGCTACCACCGCGGCTGCCGAGGTCACTGCTGCCTCCGTTGTGGAGAAGAAGGCCAGCACCAGCACCAGCACCAGCACCAGCACCAGCACCACTGCCACCAGCGCTGCCACCTCGTCCTCCTCCTCCTCCAGCAGCACCAGCAGCAGCCTGAGCTCCGAGTTCTCCGGTGAAGCCACCTTCTACGGCGGCAACGTCGACGGCGGTACCTGCTCTTTCACCGGCTACACCATCCCCTCCGGCCTCTACGGCACTGCCTTGGGATCCCCTCGCTGGGACGACGCCGCTCAGTGTGGCTCCTGTGTCCAGGTCACCGGCCCGAGCGGCAACAAGATCAAGGCCATGGTGAGCAACTCTCCCAAGCATCCACACATTCATCTTCTCTTGAAACCCAGAAGCTAACCCTCCCAACCCAGATCGTTGACGAATGCCCCGAGTGTGACTCCAACCACCTCGACCTCTTCGAAACCGCCTTCGCCGAGCTGGCCGACATCTCCGAGGGGGTCATCAGCATCGACTGGGAATACGTGACCTGCGGCATCACCACCCCGATCAAGCTGAACAACAAGAGCGGCACCTCGGCCTACTGGTTCGCCATGCAGGTCGAGAACTCCAACGAGCCCGTCACCGCCCTCGAGGTCAGCACCGACGGCGGCAGCACCTGGCAATCCACCACCCGCTCCACCTACAACTACTTTGAAAACTCCAGCGGTTTCGGCACCGACACGGTCGATGTGCGCGTCACTGCGCAGTCTGGCGCCAAGATCACCGTCAACAACGTCAGCGTGTCGTCGGGTTCGTCCGTTACCGCCTCGTCTAACTTCTAGGGGAGTGAATGATGGTGTGTGTGTGGGGGGGGTCTTCTTTCTTATTCTTTCTAAAATGGTCCGTCGTCAGACTGATTTCACTCTTCTACGGACTTCCGGTCCTTTCCGCGGATTTGGTTCGCGAACGCTTGGCTGTTCAAGGGGATGATTAGACAAGTGTTTATATGCTATAAATCTATGGCTTTGGGCTTTCACTTCAATGTATATATTGGCTAGATTTTTCAAAAGAAATCGACTTTATCTCGGTAGTGATGATGATTCTGGGTAGTGGCTTAGCCTATCCCATGCCGCCGAAGACAGCCCGACAGACTGGCACCATCTCCTGAGGCCATCGGTACAAGCCGGAAGCAAAAATAGGATATTCCAAATCAATAGTCGGCAGGCTAGTTTCTGGACGATAATTTATGTTTAATTTATCCATGATAAAGTATGATTGGGCCGGAGACACCCGCACCATAGACGGACGGAAGCTTTTACTCTAGGTAGTTCAAGACCATTTGTCGGCATTCTTAGGGCACCCCTGTCTTTGGTAGTCCTTCTATAAGAAAGGGAGTCAAGTATTACCTTATAGTCACCTGGTTTCTGCGCGTGCAAGGAGGGCCACGGCCGGACAAACCGAAATGCCCCCCCGGATTCTGCAACAACCTGAAGAGAAAATACTTGTATCTGCTCAGAGTCTAGATACAATATCACTAATATTAGTAGCTATAACTTACCCAGCCTACGCTTTAGAAATGAAGTGGGAAAATCCAGACTCCCTTATCCATTGTGGGCCATGAGTTTTGCATCACTTCAGCAGAGAATGGTGAAATCCGTCCATCTTTACTTACCTTCTGCACACCGTCAGACTAACTACATGACACCGCGTCTGCATCAAAGGCAGGCAGAAGATCCACCGTGGGTAAAATATCTGCACCTACTACGACCCTTTATTCCATCTATACAAGGCCCAAACAGGAGGTGAAGATAATATTAATGAGAGACATTATCGTAAGGTAAAGCTTGTTTCTCAGTCAAGAGCTGAAACTCGTAGAAAGAACAAGATGAAGGGTTGACGTGGCAAAAGCAGGGTTTAGTCAAGACTACTTACTACTCACCATAACGAACACAGCAACCACTGCACTCCGATAATGCCTAGCTCCTTTCCCTAGGCAGCACTAACTATCTATACTTACGTACTTCACAAAGAAAGATACGCCCAGAAAGGCCCCTTTGCATGATAGAATAATCGGCCACATAATGCTCCTCCTTCGCCCTGGCCTGTAACCGAGCCAAGCGACTTTTCAGCAAGGCAACACTGCTCTATATGATGATTTGAAGGGAGGGTTACCGTGAATTTCCCACCCACTTATGCCCAAAACATCGAAGAATATGCCTAATGAGTTCAGCCCCCAGAGGAAGCCCCAGCAAAGAGCCTCTCTCAGAAATCGCGACGCATCCAAAAATCCAACTCCCGTCTTCTGCGGCAAGCACCCCAAGGGACCATAAAGCGGCCGGATGCCATGATACCGATTATGCGCCTACATATATCTCCATGCGTCCAGGGCACCGTCGCGGATACTGTTAGACGACCCACTTCCATCTAAACGCTTAACAGCTACCAGCTCCCTGTTCGTCAGAACATAGTAGTCATCCCGGCGTTATGCTGACGCATGGAGAGATTCGCCCGAGCCCAAGGCCGGCCTGCCGGCCTGTACTCACGCTGGTGTCCCAGCGGAGTTTGGGAGTTGCGCAATGTAGACTGCCACCTTCAGGAGGAGACCGTCCAGTCTCTAAGGGCTCGATTTGGAGCCGAAGCAGCGCTTGATTCGCCAACTGCTATGCAAGCCGTATCCGGTCGACACTGATCCATCTATTATTTAAAGTACGCGGCGCTCCCTCTATTCAACGTGACCGGCGAGAATTGTCGCGCCGCAAAGTTCTGGTGCAAATTGCTCCAAAGCAGCCCGGAGTGACCGCCACATACGAGGTGCTGGAATAGTCCAGCAAAGCGTAGCTGAAACTGAGACTCATCGCTTATCGCAGCCAGTGGGGATGCGATGGGTTCGGAATAGTTACCTCGTTATCCGAACGGTTGATAGCCAGTCAGCTGACCGATGGGTCCGTCTCCACAGTTGGACCAGGAATGCCGGGATTAGACCAGACTAGATCCGAGGCCACTGGCAGGGCTGATCTTCCACAGATCTACGGGACTCTGTCAAATCTCCGTTCCAGCTCTACATGCATGCACAACTACATCGAGAGCGAATTAGTAGTCATTTGTCATTCGAGAACAGCGATGGACTGCAGAATGTTCACGCAGCCCCTAAAGCCCCCCTTAGCCATGAATGACATGCTGACTGATCCTTCCGAAGAAACTAGCATACAAAAGGGAATAAGTGTGAAGCAGGGGATCAGAAAGCCACCATGGCGAGATTAGAAACAACCCATGTTATCTTCCATCAGAACGGCACTAAAGAAATTGTGCACCCAGTAAAACCTTGCAAACACAGGAGAGAAAACCACGTGAAGATCGAGTAGAATTTGTGCAGAGACATTGCAATATCAACCAGCAAATCAATCGCAATAAGATGGAGGAGCGAGCATCTCAAGCCTCTTCCGAAACAGACAAGTCGTAGCACATGTGAAATGGCCCAGCAAAGAACGCCACGCAGAGACACAGGGAATAGAGATTTAATGAACGCAACAACAAACTAAACTTGGCCGGGATCCACCTCGAGGGGTTCCAGCTCCTTAGCTTCTTCGTAGTCGTCGAATTCAAGGCCAGCGTCGCGGCAACGCTGCAACCATTTCAGCGCAATGTCCCCACGGCGGTTGACTTCGACTTTCAATTTGGAGTTCTGAGAACTGATCTCGCTGATGGCATGGCTCGTGGTCATGTTGTTCTGTTCCCAGCGCTCGCTCATCGCTTTCTTCTCTTCATGCAGCTGGCAAATGTACTCTATTGCCCGCTGCAGAATGGCTCCCTTGTTCTTGTCACAATTAGGCACCAACCGAGCAATCTGGTTGATACCCTCATTGATCGCCTCGCGACGACGACGCTCCACTACATCGGGTTAGTATTAATGATCCCATGACGCAGAACATGAAATCCTACCTTCTTTGTGATTGTTTTTGCGGATCTGATGCCATTCCGGAGAGCCAACTGAGGGCTTCTGGTTCATGCTCTGTGCTTCACGCGCAGCATAGACCGCAGCGGCAGTGGAATTATGGCCATGGGTAGATCCAATAGCCTGGCTGATGTCGTCCCCGAAGGTCAATCCATGCGCAAGATTATTGTCGAACGCATTATCTGGAGGAGGCGGATATTTAGTCTGCGGGGTGTGCGCCGCCAACGCCGCTTTAGCCGTCAGGGTATTGTCGTCCGAGATGCCGTTCTGAGGACCGACGTGCTGGAGAATTTGTTGGTCGATGTTCAACTCTGTGGACGGAAGGCCGTGGGCATCATAGGACCCGAGCGAATTGTGCGTGAAGCTAGGCTGGTTGTCTGGAGGGGGAAGGCTGCCGTTGCTCCCATTTGAAGAACGGTTGAGACGCTGCGCATCAGGGCCAGTTTCATCAGTGCTGTCGCGCTTGCGCTTGATGGCAACACTGCCATCAGCAGTGGTCATTGAAGGATCAGACATCTTGCCGATCTGCGACTCGATCGTTAATAGGCAATCGCGCCGCGGCAGGCCCTCCAGGATACAGTACCTGTTGAGTAGGGTCTGAACCTCGATCAGATTCGAATGTGACCGCTATCAGGTTTCCAGGGCCGAATCAAGATCGGCTATCGTTGTGCGACACTATAGCCTCGGTTAGTTGACATGCCAACCTGATATGTTTCATAGGCAGTGCAAAAGGTAAGACATGCGAAGGCAGAGATATGCGGATAGATAACAGTGCATAGAGTCAGCTGTGAGTTAGTACACAGATTCAGCTTTTGAGCAAGTAGTGATCAAGATGCTTATGTTGATGATGCCCGAGAACGCGTGGATACGCGCACAGCGGCGCAATAAACAACCATGACCTGCTGGGGAATGAAGGCTTCTTGCACAAGAACAGCATAAGATACAACTACAATAAATCATGTTCGAAGGATGGAAAGGGTGCTTGAAGAAATAGTCAATTTCAAGCCGAGTTTCCAGCCATCAGTTGCAGTGGTAGCGGTAACATCGGAGACGCGTCCGGATGGTCCTGCGACCGATGGGACCGCGCGAAAAACACAGCATCACGATCCCCGACCGTCTCCTCACCCAGCCCGGGCCGACATGAAGCGCAAGCGGTGGGAAGAGCGGTGGGATTTGAGGGTAAAAGGAAGATGGTAGCAGGAGAGGAGAGACGTTGAGGTAGACATAGGCGAAGTTGGAGTCAAGAAGGAAAGGGGGAGAGCTGGTTTACCTTGGGATGGTTGGTGTCTCTATCACCTGACAGCAAGTCACCTGCCACGGGCAACAACAAGACGAAGCGAGACCGGTTTGTTCACGATATAAGGATAACGAATTTGATTCCCAAAGAAAAGTGTAGATAGAATCGTCGCCGATGGAGACAGCGAACAGACCGGATCAGAAATCAAGCAAAAAGGTGTGGTGGTTCTTACAATGCAAAAAAGGGATACATGGAGTAGAGTTGTGAAGAGAGAGAGTCGAGTAGAGAGGGACTGCTCACGTGGCGAGGGACGAAGACGAGAATCGAGGAAGAGGGATTCACAGGGAGAACCACCTACTCCGGTGGCGGACAACGACCTAGGGTGCAGATCAGTCACCTGATACTGTGACCAAAATCACCTTCCCCCCTGGGATCAACTTCACCACTTCACTGCACCATCATACCACCATGGTGATTCCGTGATTGAATTATCTACAAATTTCTTTTGTCTAAGATCTTCACATTTTGCTTCTGCACCCCCTACCCCCCTCAGCTTTTACCCTCATTCAACCGGTTTCTCTCCTCCCTTTTACTCCATCCCACATGTCATGTGCTGCCATCCCGTGGCCCCCTCCTCTCGCAGCTACCCAAATCGCTCCTCTGATTGGCCAGTCGCCCTTCTCTCTCCCGGTAGCCGGAGGAGGGGTTAACCCGGGATCACGTGGAAACCGCCAACCCTCCTTGCCCGAAAAGGTTAATGAGCTTAGCAGCTGAGCTTGAGGTGCTCTGCCAGTTGCCAGTCGAAGTCAATTACCAGTGATCACGCTGCCAGGCCTTGTTCTGCAGCATTCAGTAGTTTCGTGAAGACTTAGTTCTGCGCCTTGGAGAGGATGGCGCCTGCTCATCCCGGTCGGCCCGTTCCTTTTAAAGACAGTAAGTCAGTAAGTTAGTAGTCAAGTCAAGGGGGTCTAGACTAACTAGACTAAGGTAGTCAGCATTATGTAGTCCAGTTTCAGCCCATTCCATGTTTCTCTGATGCCCGTTCGCTTAGCGGCCGATCCCTCCTCCATTTCGCGCAGCAACCAAGCGGTTTGGTGGGCTCCATCATGATCTACTTCTCCCGCTCACCCTGTAAGATGTGGTTGTCCACCGCTGGTGGCCACCCACAGCTACCGACCTGGCTTGCAGAGAGCTTTGTAGCCATGCAGCACCGAAAGAAAGTTCCCATTGACAGCGGTGAGCTCACAACAAGGGTGCAGACCCTCAACTCCTTCTGCAGCAGAGTCTTTGTTGCTCGCGGATGGGTTCTAAATCCCTCCCCGTCTGTCCCGCTGACTCCAGTTATCACATGTTTGCTCCCTTGACCTGACTGATGAATCTGGTATGAATGTTTCGAGGGTTACATGCCGAAACGAGGCCAAGCATGAGAGCTGGTCTGAATAACTCTTCTCAGAGCCACGGTGGTGGGTTGGTTGGTCACGAGATAAGACGGTGGTGTGGGAAAGAGGAACTACCACCAGCAATTTTTCTTTCAACTCCCTGAAGAGGATCATTCCTCGAAATGATACCCTTGAGGTCGGTATGCTTAAGTATGAAGAATATAGGGGCTAGTCATAATCTGTGGTGTTGCTGCAAGACACCAGTCGAAAAGCAATTCATGATGACTGCCTGTCACATGGATGGCTATTTCAGAATAAATGGGGACCCCCACCCACCCAACTCAATGTCTCACATGATAGTGCCGTAGGGACCATATCAAGCCTGGAATCTAAAGGGTGTGGTGGCCTCCTCTTCTCTTCTGGGGAGGCGAAAATGATAAAGAAAAAAGTAATGGGGCCAAAACAAAAGAGTTTTCGCTCGCTGCGAACAATGCGGGATGTCGGAGGGATATAGACATGGGTTGCAGCCAGAGAAGGGCTTCTCATAGTCAACGGATCCAAGCTCTGGAGATTCGAACCTAGAGAGGGGGGTACAACTAGCAAAGACGCTTGTCTATTACGATGCTATCACTCCAACTACAGGATGCGCATAATCAAACGCCCGGCGGGGGTCGTAAGCCATAGCAGCGCCCTGCTGCGACCCGACCAACCAACATCAGAGAAAGCCGACCTCCTGCTCAGTCGCATCCTTAGCTCGACGATCGTCTTGCTAACGTGAAAACCATACTTGGGTCTGCCGCAGTATCGGCAAAACAGATACCTTCTGTTGCTGCGCCCAACATGTCCCAGCAAAGAATTTTGACGTCAAATTGGTCTTCGGCTGCCTGGTCTGCGTCTGAATGTGCTTTGGATTCGCCCGAGTCACCAGAGCCGGCAGCTGCTGGCGTGGGAAGGGCCTTGGGTCGTTGTGAGATGGCGATGATGGTACTGGTACCGGCATAATGCGCCGGGTTCGCCCCCGCTGCTCCCGGCTCTCCCCCAGCTCGATTGGCAAAGACGATAACGATATCCTTGCTCCGATCGGAGCCCTCCTCGTCCAAATTAATTTTATGGCTCATTTTCTTCGTGATGAGTGGCAAAAATCGCTGGATCCAATAGTTGAAGGTATCCAGGTCAGGTTCATCCGCGAGAAGATCCAGCTCCTCTCGACTCAAGGTAGATAGCCAGGCCATAGACAGGATGACCAGCTGAGACTTGGAATCCATGACTCGATTGGCGAACTCCCAAGCGGTGAACGGGGCCTCAAACTTATATGGGTTGATGTCCATACAGATCCCGAAGGAGGTGGCTATGTGTGACTCTTGGGAGGTTCGCTCCCCTTTCCGGAATATCAGATTTTCAAATCCACGTTCCACATTACCTTCTGATGCCCAGGTCTCATCGGTGTAATAGAGAAATGATTTACGATAGTTGAGAAGATCCTGACCATTCTCATCGACCACAAGCAAAGAGTTATAATAAGTCTCGTGATGACTACTTGCCTCGTCTCCTGCCTGAATCGTGCTCTCCGTGTACACTTCGGGGTACCCCACGCAGACTTTGCACTGTAGACGCTGAGCTATCTGCCGAGCCCAGTCAGCCGAGGGACCTCGGCCTGCTGGCTCCAGATACGGCTTAATAGCCTCCAGGGAGGAGAAGTTATATCCTGTTCACGTCAGCAACCTTTACCTCGCAAGCTCTCTGGGGTGTTGGAAGCTTAGCAGTCGAGGGAGCTTGAAGGTGGATTGGCAACACAAGCCACTAGCCCAACCATCCCGCAGCTCATGCATGGTGTGACAGTCAAAGGGGAGGACAAAGTTGCACTCACCCGTCAAAGCCAGCTCAGGCAGGATCAGAATGTCCGGCTTTAAGATATTCAGTCCAACCGCTCCCGTGCCTCCACCTCGCACCACCTTTCCATTCTTCAGTAGCTCATCAGCTTTCCTAATATTGCCCTCAACATCACCCAACTGCGGGGCGAATTGGAGCGTTGCGATTCTCATTCCTCTGGCGTGGGATTGCGATGGACGCTGCCAGCGGGGAGTGTTGATGCTGGTAGAAATCCCACGGGTAGATTGTAAAAAGAGAGTAGTGTGGTGGAGGTGGTGGAAGATGACGGGTAAGTGGCGGAACCAGCGTTGGAGACCAGCTCCAAGATGGACCGAGCAGAGCAGAGTAACTGGCGCAATAATGTCGATGATGGACTATTTGCCCTCAAGTACGGAGTACTAAGTCAGTCCTTCGCTTCTTCTGTTCTCATTCTAGATTAGATACAAGTAGTACGTATTGTTTCTCCGCTCCAGGCACCAAAGCAGGCAAAGCAAGCAAACCGTAGCACCACGTGATTGACGATCCAGGCCGGGCGGATGTCGTCATGGCCAGGGGATGCAAACCTCCCTCCATCCAAGATAAATGAATGAAAGAAATGAATTCAATCAAGCAAACCTTACAGCACCAATAGGGCATCCACCACCACACATAAACAAGGGAAGGACGGCCCAGGACCCATCCTACCAGAAAACAAACACCCCCCTGCTGACTGCCAGTGGAAGTGCCGAAGTGATGAAATGGGATGGAGCCTTACTTGGCTATTGACTCGTTTATTGTTTCTGCGCCGGGACCAAGTGGATAGCGGCTGGTCTGGGGGGGAATACGGCGGTTGTAATAAGAATCATGGCGGTCCCGGGGCTTTCAATTGCTGTTTCAATCTTATTAGTATCGCTCATTCCTTTGCTTTCTGTGGATCATTGATCGTCATTGCTCTTCTGGCGCCATCACGGTCTTATATAGGTAGTTCCAATCGAAGGAGTACTAGTATACAGATCCATCCCGATTTGCTTGATCCCTCCCACTCGGCTGTCATTCCCTTGTCTACATTCTTGTTCCTATTACCACTCGTTCTTCCCCAACCCTCCTTAACTGTTTTCAAATTCTCACATAAGAAAGATTTCAGGACTATCATCTTCTACTTACTACCTACCAATAACTTAAGATTCAGCGACCAACCCAGCAGCAACATTGAATGTCGTCGTGCTCAGATCAGCCTCTGTCCCTTGCCGCGCCCCTTTTCGATCCTTGTCCGCCAATCACCGTTCGTCCACACGGTCGCTTCCATCGACATCATTTCTTCTTCTTCCTCTGCGGCCTCTCACAATCACTACAATCAGCACCACCACGACGTCCTCTTCCTCCATCACGGCCCCTCCACCACAGCCTCACCATTTGCCTCTGCCGCGTCCGTCATCTCTCGCCGCAACGACGACGCCCGTTAGGCCGCCTTCGGACCCACCCCTACCATCGACCGAGATTAAAGATCGTGCGGTCCCCCGAGCCCACCGCGTTCGCCGCTGTTCCTTTGAGTCGTACCATCCCACCGCATCAGCCGACGCTGACGCCGCCGAAAATTCCTCCCAAGCCCAATTTTCCTGCCGCCGGAACAGTTCTTGGATCTCTCCGTCGATCCTACGGCCGCCGTCGGTGCGACTTGCCAACCCTATCAATTACGTGCCGCGCATCACCCCAGTCACGGTCTCCCGGTTCCCGCAGCCATCGGAAGAGAATCTTCCGCTCGAGGCGCATCGGGACGCCTATCCGCTCCTGACCATCCCCGAACAACGGCGGAGTCGACTCAACCAGTCCCCCAATAGTCTGCTGGTCGAGCGCAGTCAAGGAGAAACTGAGAGTGGACGTTCCAGCATCGCAGTGCCTCGAGGCCAGAGGCGCAGTGGCGCAGTTGAGGAATACTTGAGCTTGCAAGAAATGTCCGATCTGGGAGTGTCGAATGTCGCCCAGGATGCACCCAAGCCGCGCACCCCGGAGCGGGCGCATCTAGGTATGGACTATGTGCCCGACGGCCCCGGACCTCTCCCGGATGATCGACCCCGTTATGCTCGGTCGCAAGTCTCGCTGCGATCTCAGATTGCCTCGGTACCCTCGAATACGGGGCTGCACGCCGGTGGAGAGCCCGACACGGCGGAAGAACTGGCCTGGGGGCCTGCCCACCCGTGTTTTCCTCACTTCAACCCACACGTGCCGATCAACTCGGAAGACTTTCTGACGACGCGCATCATTCGGATTCGACGAGATTGGATGGTGAAGGGGGATCTTGCTCCCACGTTCTCCAATCTCTACCCCGAAATCCTTGACCCACTACTCCCGGAGCAGGAGTTTCGCAGGGTCATTGCGACAGTGAATGATGAACTCATTAAGGCTTTCGATCCTTTCAGCTTTCGCAACATCATCGATAGCGTTCTGGGCTTGCTCACTGGTTGGATATGGGAGGACCTGGGTGCACCCGCTATCAAAAATCACCTGAAGCGCGTGGAATCGTGGTTGGACAACTGGAACAGGGAGGTCGGGGCAAAGGATGGCGTGCACATCTGGAGTCTACGACGGACAGCCTACCTTTCGCTGGATATTCAAATTCCGGATCCAAAGGTCGGTATTGTGCCCAGCGAAAGTGGCTTCTCTCTGCCCGGAACTCGTCCTAGTAGTGGGGTCTAGAACTGACGACCCTCATTCTCTTTCTTTCTCTTTTCATATTTTCCCTTTCTATGTTTGGAAGGGTTACTTCTTTCTAATCATCCGCTCTCTTCACATGCATATATTGGTCCCTTGCACATGTGCGAGATGCCGACTTTTATACTCTATTCGTTTACCCTCACTTACTTACTTGATTGATTTACATGCACGATATCCATGCCAGGTCACAAAGTGTTTGATACCATTTGATTGTTTCGTCGGGGAAAGCTTCTGAGATTCTGGCCTGCGTCTCAGCTGGAGCATTCTCGCCATGATCGTTGATATTTCCTCCTATTCATGTCTCTCTTTGTCTTTTTAGTATTATTGGTGGTGGACTTCCCTAAAACTTATTGATAGCCACCAATCTTCGTGGTGGTTTACCCGAGTACATTGTTAGAGGTTGAATTGTGGATAAGTTGACGCAGGTTACTAGTATCTTCAAAGATGCTGTTGAGCGTGTGTCAACGAATGCAGCTAAAGAAGACATGAAATCGGGTTTCTTTTGAGACCCGAGTCGGACTCGACAATAAAACAGAGATTCGCCATCGTATAGTCCAAGTTGTTGTGATCCGGAGCATTGTGTAGAGATAGCGATAAAACTAGTTGTCAATCCCTCCCCCACACCCGCTTCCGCCCCATCGCCGATTCTGGATGAACCTCCGCCGCCGAGCAGTTCTCCATCCCACTGCACCCCTTTTTCAACCTCCCCCTCATTCCCCTCACCCCTCCCTCACCCCTCCTTCTCTCGCTTCATTCTCCTCCTTTCATCATGCTCTCGGGTATCCTTGTCTTCAACCAGAAGGGCGAGAACCTTATCTTCCGCTCTTTCCGCAGCGATTGCCGGCCGCGCCTGGCCGACATCTTCCGCATTCAGGTCATCTCCAACCCGCAGGTGCGCTCGCCCATTCTGACACTCGGCTCGACAACTTTCAGCCATGTCAAGCACGAGAACATTTACTTGGTCGCGGTGACGAAAAGCAACGCCAATGCCGCTCTCGTTTTCGAGTTTCTCTACCGGCTGGTGATGCTTGGGCGGAGCTACTTTGGGAAGTTCGATGAGGAAGCTGTGAAGAACAACTTTGTGCTCATTTACGAGCTACTGGACGGTAGGACTTTCCGCATACTTTGTGGTCCAGAGAGTATCCCTTTGTTAACGCAAGCCTTGTCTTCTGGTGCTGTGAACAGAAATCCTCGACTACGGATACCCTCAGAACACAGAAACTGACACGCTCAAGATGTACATCACGACGGAGGGGGTGCGGTCGGCGATTGCCAACTCGGCGACGGACTCGAGCCGGATCACGATGCAAGCGACGGGTGCCCTATCGTGGCGACGGTCGGATGTAAAATACCGCAAGAACGAGGCGTTTGTGGACGTGATCGAGGACGTGAACCTGCTGATGTCGGCGACGGGGACGGTGCTGCGGGCGGACGTCAACGGTCAGATCGTGATGCGGGCGTACCTGTCCGGCACACCGGAGTGCAAGTTCGGGCTGAATGACCGGTTGTTGTTGGATGGGGACTCGGCCGGGGGCAGCGGGGGCGGCAGCGGCAGCAGCTCGTTCGGCGGCGGCGGCGTGGTGACGGGCAACCGGGATGGCACGACCAAGGCGACGCGCGCGGCGGCGGGTTCTGTCACGCTGGAGGACTGCCAGTTCCACCAGTGCGTGAAGCTAGGCCGATTCGACGCGGACCGGATCATCTCGTTTGTGCCGCCCGATGGAGAGTTCGAGCTGATGCGCTACCGCGCCACGGAGAACGTTAACCTGCCCTTCAAGGTGCATCCGATCGTGCGCGAGGTCGGTACTACGAAGGTTGAGTATAGTGTGGCTATCAAGGCCAACTACAGCTCTAAGTTGTTCGCCACCAACGTCGTCATCCGCATCCCCACCCCGCTCAATACCGCGAAGACCACCGAGCGCACCAGTCAGGGCCGTGCCAAGTACGAGCCCGAGCACAATAATATCGTCTGGAAGATCGCGCGCTTCTCCGGTGGCAGCGAGTACGTGCTCACGGCCGAGGCGACGCTGACTAGCATGACGCACCAGAAGGCGTGGAGCCGGCCGCCGCTCAGTCTGTCGTTCAGTCTGCTCATGTTCACCAGTTCGGGACTGCTGGTGCGTTACCTTAAGGTGTTTGAGAAGAGCAATTACAGCAGCGTCAAGTGGGTGCGGTATATGACTCGTGCTGGAAGTTATGAGATCCGGTAAGTCTACGGTCTGAATGTTGGCATGCTCTGGATGACACTAACCTAAGACGTGTAGATTCTAGCTGTTACTGTTGCTGCAGGCAGAGCAGTGATGGGGTTGGCCACATAGAGAAGAGAAGAGGCCATTGCAGGCAAAAGAAATATCAAGAATCAGCACGCTGTCATTCTACCTCGTTACACATTTCTCTGGCATATTTTGTTACTTCCCTACCATTCTTCATCGACTGATGGACTGTGCATTCTACCCTATACATTATTACTTTTGTTCACATCGAGCTTGGTGTCTGGCGTTGGGTTTGTTGTCTTACCGGACCGTGTGCATATTTGTGGTCGAGCTGAATGAAAGGACAATATCAAGGACTGCTACCACATAATCTGTTTGTCAGGATTGACCTGGTTGTACACGTTTTTACACGTCATTATCCAACGATCTTCATGGTTCTTTCCTGCATACCGACAAATACGAATGAATGGTCATAAGTCCGCCAGAGAAATATGTTGTAATAGGCAGCAGGCCTTGAACTCAATCCTACATTGGAAACGGGGGTCTGCTAGCGACGTAACATCCCTCATCATGAAACCGATTGCAAGAATTGATGAAGGTGAAACACTACCTAGTGAGCAAACCATTGACAACAGTTGCCGATAAGTAGTTGACAACCAGCTGCTCAGTAGTAGCTTTTTTCCTTGACTGTTATTGAGTATTTGCAACCTTTTAAATTCAGTATACAACAGTTTACCACTAGCCTCTGAGCTCCTGCTACTCCCCTCTCTCTTTCCCAGTATGTGGTTATGAACAGTACATACAATGTTGAGGAATCTCGTTGAAAGAAAAACCCGCGCTGTTGACTGAGGGTGTATGCCACCCTGTATACTTCTTATAATGTTATTTGATATTCCGAGGGCTGTTCGCCTCTTCTGGCGAATCATCATCTGTCATGCTCGCTAGGCAGGCAAGAAGTTTAGAGAACACCTCAAGGTCAGGTTCATTTCTCTTCTCTCTCTCTCTCTCATACGGAGACAACAATGGACTACTGTATACTAAAAAAAAACTGTGCCACTTTCTGCAATCAACTCTAATTGATGAGTGGTTCGATTGAACGCGTAATTGCATGCATGCAATTCGCCGAGGCGTTCTCTTTCCCCTTGCTAGTTATTGAGTTGAACTACTGTAAGTTACGTAGATAGTTGTGTTTTCATTGTAATGATGGACTAGACGGACGTGATGGACCGTGCTGCTCCGTCTTCGCTGTACGACTATCTAGGCAACGGATCCAAGTATACATGATCACTTAGAAAATTCTTCCTATGATTTAATCACTACATCTTATGATGGGGCCGTGAATGCAGCTGAGGTGGAATCAATGACCCTTCCTGTCATGCTAGCCGGCAGGTCTCGTCGGTATATCCTGCCAGTGAGTGTAATCATGCAAGTCACTCTCAACAAACTTGTATCTATACATACCATCTGTCACAACTCTCTCAGGGCCCATAAGTGGAAACAGCTAATCCATAGACAAGCAATCTGTCTGTACTAATATAGCGGATCAATCCGCACTACCAGGAGGTAAGTGATAGACAGCAAACCTCAAACAAGCATAGAGGCTGCATGTGTAATAATTACCCTTAGTTCTAAGACACCACCACGCAATGAGAACTTGGCGCTCTCCGAATGCTCTTCTCAGCCCCTGTGTCTGATCATTGCCCTCAAGGCCGTCAAGTCTGAAGTTTGGTCCGATGAGAGAGTGATTTCCCGGTGCCACGGGGATAGGTAGCCAGCCCGGTGCATCATTGGATCAACCCGGTCTAACACACGGATACGCCAATGTCACTACTCAGCTACACGAAGCAGAAGGAATTGTCATAGCATGAGACCATTAGGTCTCTCACATTTGATATGTCTTATTTTCCCAAAAATCCTAATCAACCAAAGTGAAGCCAAAGAACAGAAGGGGGAATATCCGCCAGGAAGAAAGCCAAAAATCCATCCGGTCCTTTCCCATACTAGCCATAAGCACCATAGAAAAAGAACATGAACCCCTGATTGTGTTCGCCCCCCGTGTAGACCGTGCCCAGAGTGTAGAATACATAGATGAAGGAACAGGATATAAATACATTAGAATAACTTAGGTTGAAGTGGTGGATCCCGTCAACGGGATGGTGGAGATGTCAAAAGGGCAGTAGAATGGGTCGAGTTCCGTCAAGGAGGTGATGAGAAAGTAAAAGTTCGTGTCGAAAATCGAAAAAATGAAAGAGTACAGCCGAGCAGACACATTCTCACATGCAGCTCTTGTCAAGTCGCCGACGGACTTTGCGACCGCCACGACAGAGGCCGATGTTCCCATTGCCGAGCAAGGCCTGCCATCGGCGTTCCACGGACGCCTGGTCCTTGCCTAATTGCTGCGCACAGTCGTCCCGGTCACGCTGCGACAATTGGAACTTGGCAAGTATGAAGTCGACGAGACGCTCATCATCCTCGGCGGTCCAAGGGAGATCGGGACTGCTGGCTGTCGATGCTGACAGCACGGGGTCTGATTCCTCTATTGATGGGAGCGCCGTGTCGGGATTATATGGGCGCGCGGCGCTTGCACTTGGTGGGTTGCGAACCAGGGCCGCCGCGGGATTGCGCGAATGCGCAGGTGACGCGGGGGATTGCGACACCGGGGGTGAATGAAGAGAGTAAAAGTCGGATGGCGATAAGCCGAGGGGCAAGTCGTGAGGAATGTGTTTCTGTCGTTTGGGGGTGGTGAAGCGCTGCAACCGACCCGTGGCGTCTGTCGATGCCGTCTCAGGGTTGATCCCGCGACTAATGGTAGTGATAGGGGGTAGATCGTCCTCGGTCTCCGACTCGAACGCATCACGGCGACGCTTGAGTGCGCCGGTTGAGGGGCTTTGTGGAGTTATTCGAGAGGCAGATGCCTGCATGTGTTGGCTCTCTTGTTGGCGCGACGATGGCTTCTGCGATCGCGCGAATATTGTGGGTCGGATCTGGACAGGGCTCTGCAGCCGCTGGCGCATCGCGCTGTGGCGGGTAGGCGCGGGTGATCCATGTAGCAGTGATTGTAATGCGCGACAAGTTCCGAGGAGGCCGTTGCCTGAAGGAACAGAGTCGTCGTCGGACGGTGGGGGTGTTGAGATCAAGCGATTAGGAGTGAGACGCGATCGGCTCGACGGTCGCGGTACGTCGCAGGAAAGAGCGGAGGGAAGCAGCATGATGTGAGGTAGCGGATGCGATTCGCGGGTTATAGTGGGATTGATCGGGAAATGGGCGATAGGGAGTGGACTGTGGTGAGGTTTGCGGATGTGGGCGAGTTGTGCGCCGACAGAGGATTGCGCGCGTCGGGCGTGTTTTGCGCCGGAGAAGGTGTTGCGGTGAGCAGAAGTGGACAAAGGATATAGAAACACAGAATATTGATGGTATAGATGAGCGACTCGATGCGAGACACTTTTGAGCGATGCGACGAGAGAGCGACGATGATGGGTTGTTGACAGAAGCGAGGGAAGACGGAGGAGACTTGCGAAGGCGGGCGGGATTATGGGGGGGAGGAGAAAGAGGGAAGAATGATGGGGGAATGATGTATGGGGCTCTCCGCCGGAAAAGATGTTGGTTGTTTTTTCAAAAGTGCAAACTTTTTTTCTCGGTTCCGCAAACGGAGCCTCAGGAAGCAATCACTATTCACCCGGATCGGGTAACTGGATGCCTGAATGAATAGGCTCAATATGTAATGGTAATGATGGAATCAATGAACACAATCAGTTGACTCAGGGATTGAATGATTGAATGAAAAGAGCCTACTATGAATGACAGTGACAAGGATCCTCATTCCCTCCTGCGCCCTCTTTTCCTTTCTTTCATAACCTTCTCCCTCTCCTGACGACAGGGAATGGGCTATTTTTGAAGGTCTACAATGGCCATGGAAGCGAGCAGAAGCCCGCCCCCTGCTAGTGGCGAAGGGAGGACAAGGAGCACAGGAGCTACTGGGAGGTGATGCAGGCTGCAAGGCACCCGTTGCAGGATCGTGTCCTGCGATGTCATGAACTGATCCTGTGGTGGCCCGTGCTGTGAAGTGGGATGACGTGGGTTGCGTTGCATTGCGCTTGCAGTCATGATGGCTTCTTCCGCGATGATCCGATGCCCTGATGCCCTGCAATGAATGCATCTGCGCTCTGTTTCGAGACACGGGTGGATCAACTACTTCTTTGGATACTGCGCAACTGGGTGGTTTCAGGAGACATCGGCTCCCTCTTTTCAACAGCTGGGACACTTTCCTCCTTCACACCCAATATCACCTGGATTCCTCCCATCGAGGTCCCCTATCTCTTGACAGCGATACATTAAAAGGCCATTCTTTCCCATGCATCGTAGACATCATCCATGAATATCTTCTACTAGAGAGATATCATGATCTTCTTGATGATATCACACGGAGCCCGAGCTTTCTGTACGTTTCCCAAAACGGCATTAATGGATGTTTCAAAGTCGCGTCGCGCGTTGCGCGTTTCGCGTCGAGCGGCCACCAATCAATGCCTGACGGCCTCAGGAGTCGATCGGTGCCTCATTGTATGCAATCTCAATCAACGCGATCTCACAACGTCCGTCATCAATGAGACAGACAAAGCCATCTTCCAGCCAGTGAGTAGGCGAGCAAGCAAGGATCGTGCATAGGACCTGTGATTCTGAACAGAAGCGAGATCCCAGAGCGCGTCGCGATAAAAATCTCTCCTTCGCTGTAGTAGTCTTATCAGCAACACGCTCTCTCTCTCAGCTTCTCTCCCTTACATCCATCCCCCTTCCGGAAGAGTTTTAGGCCTCGGCCCTCTCCACCCGCATTCTTTCCTTTAGGTGTGGAAAGCAGTGACGTTACGTTATCGCTGGTGGCTGGAATCCTGGCAGTCGAAGACATGACGCTGCGGTCTCAAGCTGCGTGAATGTTCACTGGCTGACTGGGACTTAGCATAGACGATGGGGCCAAGACACCCGAGACTCCCTTTGATCCCTTGTGGAACAAGCCAAACGCCTCTGATCGCGTGGTCAGTCACGCCATGGGTCCCGCCCCTGTTCTGCATAGGGATGCTTTTCACGTGCAGAGGAAACGCTTGCTGGCTGCACGGCCTAATCCTCGCACGATGCCTGGCACGGACACTGCAGCCCACTGTCCGGTCCCAGCAGCGCGCCGCTGCGTCAACTCTATGTATAGCAGGCAACGTGCCAACCCTACTTACTGAACTTACCGAACCCTACTCCGTAGATCTATCTGCCTACCGGTAGTATGGTAGTCTCCCCTGCTCTCACCCATCTCATTCAGTAGTCAGTACGGAGCAGTTACCACAAAGACAGCCAGGTAACTATATATGCAAGGGAGGCATGATGTCTCTGAAGACTCACGCGCAGCGGCGCGCCCGCTTGTCTTACCCGCGCAAACATACGCGCGTCTATGCAACAACTGAACCCTTTTCTAGAGGTGCGGTCGGACGTGCTTTTGTTTCTCGTACGGTACACATATCATGGCACGTCCTTAGACCCTTACCACTCTAGCCTACACGTTGCAAGACAGGGAGCTAGGGCACAAAGGGGTGTCTGTCGGCCTTGATTGGCAGTCTGTGACTCATTGTGTGCAAAGGGTTGTTTGTTGGGCTGGAAGGTGTAGGAGGTGGTGAAGCTTCTTCAGCGGATGCGAGTTTGGAGCAAAAGGCGTGGGGATGGTCAAATATCAGAAAAATAGCTACTATATACTGTACTTCCGTACTGTCTAAGTTGATGTGATAGATGCCTTTTACTGTGGGCCAGAGTGGGGCTCAAACTAACTCTCCTCTCTTAATTGCCAAACATATTCCCGATTATACTAACCGTTATAGCGTGCAGGAGAACATGCGCATTGGACTGCGGTCTTCGTTGGTTCGGTACTCATCACACAGCATAATTGATTCATTTCTCGAGTCATCCATCTTCTTGAAACTTTCTCATTTGCGATTTCCACGTACGGTACGAGCTAAGTCAATACTGCGATAACGACTACTCCGTAAGTACATCTGCGGAGCTGCAAATGGTGTAAGAAGAATATCGTCGGGTAGGATTCGGGTGGCAATAGGAATTTGAGCCTTTATCAAAATCTGCCGGCTTGGGGTAAATCTACTGTAGTTGCCTATCCTACTCCACGGCACTCAGTTTTTACTTATAGACCTAGGATAGAGAAGGTGTGCAGAAGCGGGAAGGAAAGTTATGTTTACAGCTAAAGGCCTATGATGTATTCTGTATGCCAGGCTCTTGGTGAGCTCCTGTGGTGAGCCGGTGGTCAACTATACTATGTACTAAACATAACAAGGATTGCGCCTCCGGAGAACAAGACCTACGCTTTGAGTCTTCGATTCGAAGGCAGAAGTCTATGATCGCTGAGCTAATACCTACATAGCTATCCACGTGCTCAATCATGATGACAGAGTCGATCACCCAATAACTCCTAGCAGTCGTTCTTCATCCCAAGCCTCATCGGTGGAAGCACCGGATCGGACAAGGTCGGTGACGGCTCCGGATGACATATGAGAACCTCCGAATCTGAGCTACACCACGATACACCGTCATCCTCTGTGCCTGTGCGTATCTCGCTCAGATGATCCCACCCTTTCTCAAGTTCATCGGGACCCTTTGACTCATTTTCAGATCCTGTCTGACCGTAGTAAGAGAGCTCAACGATTGGGTCAGCCGGAACCCGCTCGGTCCAGTTCTTGATTGCCTTATCATAAAGATCCCCAAAGCATTTCTTGTGCGAAAGATTTGTGAACAAATCATCCTGCAAAGCCTGCTTGGCGGTCATACGCGTTGCTGGGTTCGGCTCGAGAAGACGACGGATGAACTTCTTGGGCCGGCCTCCTATACTATGCTGCTGGAAGAGAGCCTCTAACCTGTGCTGGCCTTCATCGCCCTCTTGAGCAAGTAATTCACCCCATGAACGTGAATCATCGGGTGCGCATTGTCCGGTAAGGAGGGCCATCGTCACGCAGCCCAGGGACCACATATCGATAGCTTTGGTGTAGGAACCCCCGGATAACTCGCTTCCTTTCCATCAGCTCTCAAGTTGCTAAGTCTCCGAGAGGGTTTGACTTACGGAGCCCGATACGGCACGGTACCCACTATTGTGGACATCGGCTCTTCTGGTTGCACGCGAGTGGCGCTGCCAAAATCAATAAGGACAACCCGGTGAACATCCTTATAGTGTGGGTCCCGCTCCGTCAGGAGTATGTTGTCAGGCTTCAAATCACGATGGACGATGTCATGATCATGGAGATAATCGACAGCCATCAGAATCTGGCGTACGAAACACACGGACTTCATAAACAGAGATGCTCCACTGTTGGATTGAATATAGGAGAAGAGGTCTCCTCCAGCGATGAGCTCCTGGAAGAAGTAGCTTTGTATTTGATTGTTCATGGAATCGTAAGTCATGGTTGTCATGCTAATGGGGCGGATTGCATAGCCACTCACAAGGTGTTGTCCGAATATACGAACTTCTCAAGGGTGATAATATTGGGCTTCAGCCCAAATTAGCCATGTATTCTGCAGACTCTGTGAATGGCATTTGCACCTACATGGCAGATATCCTTCAAGATCAAAGCCTCCTGCCGCATGGCGTCCAGCTTCCCATTCAACCTCTTCTTAACCACATTCCGAAATACACGTTGCATGGCAGGATTGCAGTCATCGCGCCAAAGACCCTGTTTCTCGTTGAATTCCCTCTTTACCTCTCTGGTAATCCGGTCTCTGATCGACTGAATATTGACAACCTTGCACGCCATCTGGCGCCCGTTGTCTCGTCGATAGGCCATGTAAACGGTGCCGTTACCCCCGGACCCTAATTTGCGACGTGTGATCTGGAGCTCGCAACTCATAAGCGTTATTTCCCTGGATTGGGTCTCACCGGGGCCAGTATCGTGGGCGTTGCGGTTGTGATGGTTGAAGATGAGGCAGATCTCGCCGTTCAGATTGAGGATATCGCCGTCGGCGAGCAGGACCTTGCGCCTAGCCGTGTCCATGGGAAACCCATTCCAGTGGATGGTAGTATGCACACTTTTGCATTCGGCGTAGACAAGTGGAGGCACGTCGTCGAGATTCTCGCGGTCGTAAATGATTGTTTCGATCTTCAGATGTCTCCTTGAGATGCCAGGGCCAGTGACGTAGTATTCGCAATGCTTTGCTTTACCGACGTTGATTGTTTGGTTGCTGTAGATGGGGAGAAGATCGGTATACTCTCCGGTTGATCGGTGGTATGTTGAGATTGTGCCGACCAAGACGCCTTGAGAGGAGGGTGAAGACGATGACCGGAACATAATCTCTAGGTTGAACAAGAACAATGCTGGAGAGATAATGATAGAGAAGTCTGCTAAATGGAAGAATTTGGTTGAGGGAAAGTGTTTGGGAAAAGGTTTGTCTCGGAGGAGGACTTCAGTTATCCAGTATACCTCAGCCATGGGACAGATTGGGAAGGAGCGCAAATGGTGCAAACCAGTCTACAAACCAATTGACAATAAACTGCCAGCTTATAGCAGAACTCCAGGTTATATGCAGTCGATCTAAAAGATCAAAAAGTTCGCTGAGGAGCGACATGATATCTATCTTATTTACCTGCCCTGACAGGAGACTGAAACAATAACCAAACCGCAGCTTCGTGAATAGAGGCTTGGTCTGTCATGCTTCGTCGTTAGGGATCAAGATTCGATGGATTTGGCATGAGGCATTCATGGGCTCCGCGCGAAAGAACGACCGGAGAGTGACTGGATACGGAAGATACTGTCTACACCTAGGACCCATTCAGTTCACTTTACTGGTAATTGCTACGGAGACCCTCTGTGGGTTCAAATACTTGTGAGGGTGAAATCTGCTAACCACCTTTCTTGCGTCTGAATCGCGACGACAGGATGATGCTGGCTCTGACGCATTGAAGATGGGACTTGGATACTGGAACACGGTGATGAGTGCTTATATCCGGACATTATGGGCCGGGTTCGCGAAACACCCCGACGCAGGACCGGCTTTCGCGCCCTCCCACACGAGCATTCCACCGTGTTGGACATGATGTATAGTGCCTCGGATTGTAAGATTGATCTCGCCGTCGCCGAGTTGGAATGTTGGTGGGAGGCGCTGTTGCCCATGGCGGACCCATTGGGGCTGGGTTTACTTGGTAATCCTGACTGTGAATTCGCGAATGGTGTCAACATGTTTGGACTGTACTACAACATCACATATGTAAGAATCGATCTGCTGGCAGGTAGCTGGTCACGACGCTGAACAGACTCCATACGTTGCACTCCGTAGAACTCAATAGAATGCAGCAAGCGCGCTATATACAACACATAATTCTGTATGCGAGAGACTGAATCCACGCCATGCATTCAACCCAATCGATCAAAGCTTAGGTAAACTACAAAACAACAAAGCTGTATCATGCCCAACCAACGCCACGACAAAATGCAATCATGGTATAAGCTCTCTTCCTGACCTTCCAACGACATGCATGACGAAATAGGGTCTGCTTGTATAAGCCTGCGCAACAGAAGGGAATGATAATAAATGCACCCGAGACAAGCATCAAGAGAGAGTGTATCCCCAGTAGTGCGCAAAAATTCTTGGCCACGCAGACAACAGCACATCAACGAGATTTCCGTTTGCTATCGGCAGATGTAAAGTCCAAAGGCTTATAGGCTAATCCCTTAGCCCCCGTCATGCGAATTCGTTGCTCCGTTCGGGACAGGGTCCGGCCCAGCCCCAAGCCGTTGTCAGGGGCCAGGGACACCTCGTATCCATTCACATGGCCCGACTGGGGTGATTGACTTCGCGAAAATGCATACGATGGCGATGCACTGCTCCTATGGCTGAAGGAGGAAGCTCGCCCATCGTAAGAAGTACTAGACCATCCATCCAGAATACGAGGGCCGCTCCTCAGCGACTCGGCTGCAATGCGAGCAGCAGAGAGAAGAAGCTCGTCTTCGTCGACTTGAACAGATCGGGGCTCCTGGGGTTTGGCGGGCGCGGCTGGCTTCCGCGCCGTCATCGACTCGATTTTTTCCAGAATGGGAAGCTTAGGCAGAGGCTTTAGAGAAGAAAGTGCCATCGACTTCCTAGTAGACACAAGCGGCGCTTCGGGTTTTCGCGCCTTGACGGATTTTGTGCTTCCGCCTGGGGCGGAGGGCTGTTCTTCTGGTTCCTCATGCACTCTTTTGCGGCCAGTAGTCGGTTTGGTCTCCCGACGCCGATCAGCCGCTTCCTTCAGGGTTGACAACCAGGAAGTACGCTGCGCAGGCGCATCGTTCTCTAGCGTGGCCGGTTCCTGTGAAGGCTGAGTAGGAGGCTCTAGAGCCATGTCGTTGCCGGACACACTAGCTGCAGACGGTGGCTTCCGTTGAGGAACAAGATCACCCAGCTTTAATTCTGGTTCCTTGTTTGCAACAGGAGCAGCTAGTTTTCCAGCCGTTGTAGATGTGGTAGTCTGCTTTTCAAGGATATTGGCTTGTGCACCACTAGAGATGCTCTGCTCCATCTCAGGAGAAACATCTGACTGTGCAGCCGTGGGCTGCGAAAAGGAGGAAGCAGCCGGTTCTTCTGTTAAAGTTAACTCTCAGGTTCTCTCGTACACGTGTGGGAACATACTAGTTTCTTTAGGAGTCGAAAATGAGGGAGATGAGAAAACCGGTTTGGGTGCTTCATCCGAAGGGTTAGGAAACAAAGATGGAGGCTGCTTAGCGGCCAGGCTCGGTACAGAAGCACTGAAACTTGAGCCAGTTGACCCGTTTGACGAGGATGTTGTATCAAGGCTGAATATGCTGGGAGCAGGTTGCCCAGCAGTTGGGATGGGGCTTGACGCAGACGCAGACGCAGGCACGGAAGTACTGAAGAGGGAAGTTGAGGATGGTTGTGCAGAGACAGCGGCAAAATTAAACGGGGTAGGTGAAAAGGAAGTAGATTCCCGTATCTCTTGGCTTGGTTTTTGGAGACCAGAGAAGGAAGATATGGGTTCTTGGCTGTTGGATGAGAATGCGGGTTTAAACTGTTTCAGCTGCGGTGGTTGTACAAAGTTGAAAGGCGACGTGGTTGATGAAGATGAATTCGGAGAGGCCTGTGGTGCGTTTAATGTACTGGAAACAGAAGTCTTGCTTTGGTCCTCTTGAGGGTGTTTGAAGGAGAAAGGTGAGGTGGCCGTAGCAGAGTGGTCAGAGAGAGCTTGTTGATTACTCGATGCGGGGGGAAAAGTGTTTGTGCTCTGCTCTGGTTGCGGTGGCTTGGAGAGTGGAAACAGCGACGTGCCATTTGCAAATGGGCTCGAAGATGAAGGAGGCTGACTGCTCATTACAGCTGGAAGACCAAAGGACGGTTGGCTTGGTTGAGATGAAGTTGGGACACCGTTGGCGAAGGGGCTCAAGGGTGATGGTGAGGGGGCGCCAAACGCGGCAAAGGAAGGGTTGGGAGAGAGGGACGAGAAAGGAGACGCCTGTTTCTGAGGCGCTTGGGGTGACACCGATGGCTTAGCGAATGAGAATGTTGGGGGGCGACTTGATTCGGTGCTTATAGCTGGGGCAGGGGCATTCGCAAAGGCATTCTGAAAGCCAGAGGTTGACGTTGGAGAATTGCGGGAGCTCCCTTCTTGCGGAGTCGAGCGGAACGCAGGTGCATTGTCCTCGTCGCTCACGAAAAGCGAATCCTCGTTTGTCGAAGTAAGTGCACGGGGAGCGGGCAGAGCGGAAACACGTTCTGGTAGAAGAGAACTGTCGATCATTGCCAAATTTGCTGCTTCTTTGATGTTGAGTCCAAGGATGATTGCCGGCAGAGTTCTACCTGCGCGCTTTGATTCAACGTATGTCTCCGAGAATGCATGGTCTGACGATGGTTGGAAGGCTGTTAAAGTGAACTGAATTAGTCGACAAACTTGCATGAGGTAGAATCCAAAGGTCATAACATCGAAATCCAGGCTCTTTCCGATGCGAATCGAGCCTGACGGTCTAAAATACAAGGCATGGTGATCGTCGGTCGTCACACGTACCCACTGAGTCCACGGGACGGGTGCCCCAGTTGAGATAGAGATCACCATTTGCATTTTCGGCAAATTGAAGGTCCTGCTCTTCGCAGAACTTGATCGTCTGGTCATGGTCATCGAAGCGAAGAACTGTAGTAAGCTCATCGACTGTCCATTCTTCGTTCTTGTGTTGCTGGGAGGCTGGGTAGCGGCAGTAAGCCTTCCAGATCGAGCGGATGGCGGTTTGGCGCATATGATTGAAATAGATCTCAGCAACGCATGCCATTAAATAGGAGACCCCCGGCGAGTCTATCAGGTTGAAGAACCGCATGTAGAAGCCTTGAGCGATAGCGTTCGGACGCTTGGCATCAAGTGTACCCTGGTACTCCCAAGTATTGCTGGCTGCAGCGAAAAGCTCCAATGCCATCTGGACGCGAGGTGAGCTTCTCAGCTCGACTGGCCATTTCTGAACGCGGGACTCCAAATCAGGGCGTTGATCATGTATCGAGAAAAGGATGTAATAAGCTCGAAACTCGTCTTCGTTGGGAAAAGGGATACGTCCTCTGTTATCGTCATAGTAATACATTAGCGAGAGCATTGTGTTGTTTAATTGTTCGCGTTCCTGATGTCGGTCAAATGGTTCCTCGTTGGCGGGGCTAGACAGCAGGTGCAGAGACACAATATGGAATCGAGCGATTCGCTCAAGGCAAGCCACTGCGATCTTGACATCGGCTTCTTGGGTGAGCTGTTGCACCGAAAAGTCATTCCGAATAGAACGGGTTCGATCCCAGACGAACTTGTGAATCAAGCCTAGTGGCTCGGGGCCGTCAAGGACATGCCGAATTAAATAGTTCATGGTTTGAAGGAGCGTGTGCGGTGTTCTGATATCAGACGGAAGTTGCGCATCATATCCAGCGGCCGATCGTCGAAATCGTTTGAGCATCTTCAACTCCATGTTTTGCAAAGTGTTCGTAGCAGGATGCAGATACTGATCGTAGAGTTTAGTATAAGCTTTGGAATGTGGGAATTATGAACCAATGCTATCACCTTTTCGCTCTTGTCGACCATCTTCTGAACAATGCGCTCGACTCGCTCGAATTCCGGACACATGCTTGTGCAGGTGCCCACGGGCGTGATGGCTTGCTGCAACGACGTTGGCTGGTTCGGATCTGCCATCTGACCTTCCTTAATAGCCTTCTCTCTTTGCTTCGTCCTATCGAGCTTGAGCTATTTTTAAGTAAGCACCAACCTAAACATCTCACCCATTTGTGTGTTTGGGCGCTGAACCCTACCTTTTCGTAGCGATCAGTATAGCTACCCAAGAGCGCAGCGTCTTCCACGGGAACGTTTGCACCGGGTCCTCCGTTCGTGGGCTGCGCGAATACTTGCCCGTGTGACGCCGCAGTACCACCAAATGGAGCTCCCGAGAAATTGGAGGGTGCCCCGAACGACGCAGGCGAGGCTTTCCCGAAACCCGCGAAAGGAGAAGGGCTCGGGGACGGTTGCGCAGAAGGGGAAGCCGAGGAAGGAGCAGGTTGCTTCAACTGCCCGAAAGGCGACGAGGCGACGCCGGCAGAATCTGCCTGTTGCTCGGGTTGTTTCCTCCAGACATTACTCCCCGTGCTGGCTCCCCTCCCGAGACCACGTGTGCCTCTTACCGCCGAAGCGCCCCGTCCGCGCCCACGAAGCCTGGGGTCGCGTGCTACAGAGTTAGCCTTAGGCTGATAAGGCGTTGAGCGTGAAGATAGTCCACCACGTCCACGACTAGCGGAGTCAGCCGACCCATCTCTCTGGCCGAGGCCCGAGAAAGGATTCGCTGGGCCGGCCATTCTGCCGCGAGAAGCGGAACCGTGGACGGGGGTTCGAATTTTCGTGCGATGAGCTGGAGCGTCTCAGTTCTTCTGTCCAGATTTGTGGTCTATGTCCGGGCGCGTTTCTCGGGTTATGACTTGCGTGGTCAGGCACCGGGCGGGGAACGAGTGGGATCGAGAACTCTAGAAGCGCTGTATGATCGATGCAACCGCGGGAACGGGTGTGGCAGCAGAGTCAGCTGTAGTTTATACATAACGAGAAGGTGTGATATGACAAGGCGACTGAGGGGCGATGGAGATAGAGAAGAGCAGTTGAACGACGAAAGGACAATCGCGAACGGAGGAAGTTTCAAGCATGCGGAACGAGCGATTGGCGCGGTACCTTTGGAGCTTAAGCTTCAGGGATGGACGAGTGTTTGCTTGCAAGGCAATGCGAAGTCGGGAAGAAATCAATAGGTATATTAAGACGATACGCTGTGAGCGAATGCAAGTGACGCGGAAATGAGACTGTGTTCCCGCAACTTCGGACAGGACGTGCGCTGCGAACTGGAGATAAACGGTGGTTTTATGCAGTCGCAAGCACTTCAAACTGACGGCAAGCAAGTGGAATGCGGGAGTATCGATGGCAGATGGGAGATGCTGCAGGGCTCGAAGGAGATCGGTTGCTTGTTGAACTTGGGAGAGATGGAAAGAGGAGATGGCCAACCATCCCGAGTCAATCACATCGGGGAGCTCCAAGCGGCGGCATGCGGGACTGCGTCAATGCGCGCCAAGCTCAGCTTAGGCGCAGGCGCCACTACCGCGCGTGTAATGCAGCTCTGTGCTTAGTAAGGTTTATTATGCATCATCTCATTATGCATCATATCAACATGCTTGATCTTATCATACAATCTAGCAGACTACATTCTACAGTAATTTGACACCTGAAACGGAAATCTCTGCAGAGCAGGGAGCACTTGAATGGATTATCTCTGTGGTCAGTCAGTCTGACTAGAGTATGATTCGTGTAATTATGCCAGCACTTCCCAATATTGCTCACCCTTCAGAGGTAGTTGGAACTTTCTTAGGAATCTGCAGTGTTGAGTAGTTTCCGCCACCAATGCAGCGCGAAACTAGGCTAGGAGCTTCTATACATTTCAAGAACTCGCTTTATGACAACAGTATACAACTCATGCAATTCTTTCTAGGCGCCACTAAGTACAAGAGACGCTAAAACGCTACATTCAAGCTCCATCCACCCCAAGGTCAAAACACAAGCAAATGACAATCAAAAGAGGAGAAAGCAACAAACCCACCAGCTCTCTGTCACAAGAGACCCAGAGAGTACAACGAATTCGGAGCGCCCGTGCTTGCCCAGAATCTATCATATCAGTCCCACCCAGCAAAGCAAACCATAAAGTCGCAAAGACAACAACCTCACCACCCAACCATCTAATTCAATTACACAGCGCTCGGTGAGAAAAGTATGCCGTGCACGTTTATCTCCCACATCAACTGTCTGAACCAGAGGAAGATGTGTCGACAAGCAAAAAAACACAGGCATAGGGAAATAAAACGAACAATGGCCTAAGCCGGAACCAAAAACCCCCGAAGATGAAAACAGAGGCGAAAAATCAAAATAAGGAGTCGATCATATATATTCGTTACGGGGTCATTTCGTGTGCGGTCTATAATCACAGCTGCTCGGCAGACTGGTGAAGGCTGGGATGGCTTAGAGAACCCGTCCGAAAGGACATTTTGGCAGGGTTTGCGAGCTCAGGAAGGCCGTGCATCTCATTCATCGGCATCTGGTAGTGTATGGTCGGCTGAGCCATTGCTTGGGTGGTTGCCACAGTGCTGTAGTCAAAGGAGCTGTACATAGGCTGTGGTCGGTAAGTTGGTGTTGCCCAGCTATCATATGCTCCGACAGCTTGCTGCATGGACATTGTCGTAGGACGATGGTGTTCCGAGCCAGCGGGCGCAGTGATAGGAGCGGGAGTCAAACATTCGAACGAGGAGGTCTGCTCGATCGGGCTAGGCATCTCACTGCCCGCGGGGGTGTTGATGACCGTGGGAGACGTGTACTCGTCATTGTAGTCGACAGAGGTTGAGTAAAAGGATCCTTTCTGTAGTTGGCTTGGCTCACCGTAGCTGAGCGACTCTGGGAGAGGGAAGAGTTGATCCCGGTCGGCTCCCAATGAAATGGCACGGTGGGAGGACACGCTGGCTGGATCTATCGCTGTGAATGGTGCAGACAAGGCTTCCATCGAGGTTGCGGTCGAATGAATCGCCTCATTGCACTCTGCCTCTTCTGGCTCGATCTTCTGCACAGGCTCGGGAACGGGCTCGCCTTCTTCCTCGTTGTCCTCATCTTTCTCCCCCTTGTCATGTCTTTCTTGGACATAGACAATTGTGGTCGCGTCTGACAGGTCTTGGTTAGCCAAGGCTAGGATAAACAATGAAACCCACAAGGGTGATGCTTACCGACTTCGCCCATCTCATATCGAACCTCCATCTTGCGCACTCTGAATATCTCGTCGAGAATGAGCATTCTCTCCTGGGGAATCTGTCTTCTGCAATCATGAGCCACGTCTTGCAGGTCCTCTGGGGTGATGCCGTGCTGGCCGAGATTTCGGATAATGTGGAGTAGAAGTTCAAGTCGCTCTGTTGTGCAAAAGAATCAGCGCCAATGCTCGGCAGAAGTCAGAGCGAATGGATTTACCTTTTTTCTTGAGATGGTCAGGCTCCTTGTGAGTCACATTAGCTGGCCACCAGGCAGGCTTTGTCAGCTCTGGGTCTCCTCTGGTTCCCGGTGGCGCTCCAGGCCTGGGACGGCCTCCGTTGTACGGGTGTCGCACTTGCTTGCGCGGCTCGATATATTTGATGAACGCTTTGGCGACGTGGCGACAATTCTGCTGTTGGACATGGTCCAGTGCAATGCGATAGTACTGGAGTAGCTTGGCCGAGTCGCCAATCTGGATGGCGACTCTGTTCACCGTGGCAACCGGGGGCATTTCTTGCACGGTGTTGGTGTAGGGATTGGAGTATCGCAGAGTCGAGGAAGCGACAGACTGGGTCTTGCGCCGCTTGCCTGAGCGCCGATATTTCTCACTCATGCGGTCATGGCTCAAAGCAGCGGGGCTGACATTAGAGGTTCCTGGATTGCGTTAGCCGGAGCTACTGTTGCTATGCCTCATTTGCAAGCACATACTGCGAATCAAAGGCTGTCTGTAGCCGATTTGCGAACCTAGGATTTCCAAGAACTTCTCCCGTACGTCATGTGTGAAGATTGTCATGTTCTGTTCACTGATCGAAGGCGACTCTTGCACCTGCAGCCGGCCCATGTGATCTAGATAAATAAGAGAGTAGTGGTTGAATGGCATGTTGACGGTTGCTTGTAGAGGAGCGTTCATGATCTGAAGCGCGCCTGTTAGCGAAAGCTAGACCAAAACATGGCAAAATTCCTCACCGGAGCAGTTTCCCAACCAAGGGCACCATCGTGAAGGCTCGAGGCAGACCTCTTGGTAGGTCCAGACCCCGACGGAGTGGCAGGTGTGTAAACCATGGCGGATGTATAATCAAGAACGGACGGTGGGACAATCGAGATGTGCTTTGAATTTATAATCGTATCGGAAGACCTAAGATCGCAGAGGTCAAGGAAGATTGTCAGAGCGAACGCTTGATGCTTTGGAAGGCCTAAAGCATAAGTGTGTGTCGAGACTTGGTGATTGTCACGGATGGAGAGTGCTAGATATATATGGCGCAACTCCAAAGCCTTCGAGTCACCAAATCAAAGACGGTGTACCCTGCAATACTCCTAATGTGGCAACTGTGGCGCATCAAGGACAGTCAGAGGTTAGCATCCGATTCGACTGAAATGACGGCTGAACCAGTGCTTGGTGCAAAGCAAAGACATCGCATAGGCTCATCCCCGAATTGTGGTCATGCGGAAGGATGATCCATGCTCTCCATCCCAGGCAAACTGCAAGACATAGTAGGACCAGACCGGGAATCGGCAACTCACCCAGGACGCGAATTGGGGTGTAGTGAAGAGGCAGCTGCTGGTAGCCGATCCTCGTACACACAGTCGGAGATGGTTTGGCAAAGTGTAGACCACTTCCGTCGGGCGAGAACAAGGTCGAAGAAGTCCGGTAACACAAACAATACTTGATGTCGTACAGAACGGGGTAGTGAGTGTTCTCAAGAGGTGGTGGGATAGATAGAGGAGTGTAATGATGAAGAGTGATAAGTTGGTAGTGGTGTGTATATATAAGACGGAGGTATAAGCCAATCTTCTCTGATAGGGATGAGTGAAGAAAAAGATGAACAGAAAGTATCGAGCTCTGAGGAGTGCTTTAGGTCTTTATAAAGACGACGAGTGAGAGAAAGAGAAAGAACAGGAGCTGGACCTTTTGAACAATCTGCGAGATAGAAGTAAGAAAAGGATCGAGATGTGCATCTGTGGACAAAAGAACCCAGAACCCACACACTCCATCTCGGCATGATTGCTCTCCCCTCCACATCTTTTCTGTCTGTCAACTCGAAATTCATCCCGATTTGGCATGGAACTGGGGGAACTGGAACTTGTGGTTCCAACAGCATGGGTGATCCCTGACTGTATCAGAGCCGAAACAGCCAGACGACGCAAAAGCATTGGTAAATACTGCGCCTGCATGTTTACGGTAAACCATGCAATAGACGGTCAAAAATCCTTTGGGAAATCATGATTTTTCCGGGACGAATATTTTGTAAAAATGATTTTCTTAAGCGGGGGTGATTATTTTGTTTAAATCTTTTTTGTCATTCGAATTTTGGTTTAAGATTATTTTGATGGACATATATCTCGATGCTAAGGCACTAAAGTAAGACTAGGTACTATTTGTAGATCGTCCAGCTAAGTGGCTATGGCAGCAGCTGGCGCCCCTCCTCTGCCTTTTTCCCCAGGGCTCACTTCCACTGTCAAAAAGACCCGAACGGTGGCGCATCGATAGTTGCCTAGACTCGGCCATCCGAATTCCTGGGGAGAGACGGTTGCGGTGATGACAGCCGATGGGCAAATGTATGCACTTGAGTCCTCTATTCTGCAGAAAACCTCTGGAGTAATAGAGGGACGCGAAACAGAGATCGGATTGAAGAGAGGGAGAGCAAAACACTATGGATCCGCATCGTACTCCGTACATAGGTGCAATATTCAGATAGCCCCGGGCGTATGGGTCAAATCTCAGGCCTTCAGTCCGGTCCGGCCGTCCCCGTCAGTCTAGCACAGACAGGACAAAAGCACTAACTACGTGTAGGAAGAGCGATAGGGACGATTCTAGTCAACTTATGGGGGAGGCGCACTAAGCTGATTTGACATATAGTTAGTTAATTAGACATAGTGAACATAGTCCAACATCCTGAGCAATGAGAAGATATACCGAAATCGAGTCTAACCGCCACTTATCTAGCGTTTTGACAGGGATGGGCTTTCCGGGACAGCGGCTTCATGCGCCCGCTGGGACTTTCATTTCTATTTTATTTTTGGTCTTGATTTTAAATTCCTCTTCTCAATGTCTAACTTACCTACAGTGTACAATCGCCCACTGCAGCACAACAACGACAAACCCGCCTTCGTCATTGGCTAATGCAGATCGCTGTCGCCCACCAACATGGAACCGGTTTGTGTTCTTTTCCTCTTTCCCGCTCACTGTTTTTTTGTTTTGTTTTTTTTTTTTGTTTTGCTTTTTCGTTTTGCTTTTTCGTTTTGCTTTTTTTCTGTTTCTCCATCCTCTTTCACCAGTGAGCAAATTGTCAAGCCACCACCACCACCGTTCTGGGTTCTATTGGGCTGAACCCCAGACCTGCTTACTACTCACTTCCTCCCTCTCCGTCACCCTCTTGACGTTTCGTCGACAGCTCCCCCTCCCCGTTAGAAATCCTGTTTTTATCTGACAGCAACCTTGAGTACGCCGTAGTATCTACCGGTTGTACTCCGTACGAGTGACGGAACGGAGTCGGAGAAGAGGCGAGCCAGTAGTTTGTAGTTTAGTTGTTTTATGCAAACCTAGATTATCCTTCCACCGGCACCACCCACATCTGCCGAGTAGATTAGGGTACCCTCATGATGGATACTGTAGATGATAGATAAATAGATAGATGCGGCGCAAAATGCAAATTGATCGCGGTCCCCCTCCGCTGCTGACCCCATCAACCCCGCCCTCCTTATCCACACACACAAGCCAGATCTATAAAGATGTACGCACAATACCTCACCACTGTACTGTGTAGGTACAGGATCGCTTTATCGGGGACCCCGAGCAAAAGGCATAAGTTACAGCCTCTGGAGACCCTTCGTCAGGGATCCACCACAGCTGATAGGTAGCCACTGCAGGCAAGTAGGTAACCACGCGAGAAAACCAGATGAATATGTACATACTACGCACAGTTTACGCACAGTACTCCAGACAGCACAAAAAACCCAAGTTTCGCCCCCTAATTAGCCTCTCGGATGGCTTGCAGCTTGTACAACCCGAAAGACAGATCCCCCAAACAGCAAAATAACCACAAACCTCCAGAAAAAAAAAAAACAAAAAAAAAAATACGGAGTATGGAGTATGGTGTATAATTTCCAAGGAACGGCCGGCCACCACCGGCCGACAAGCGGGCGGGCGGCGGCCAGCCCTCGAGTTCTTCCCCTCTCCCTCTCTCGAATTACATACGCACAGACCGCATCGCATATCGTCAAAAAAAAAAACAAAAAATGTCCCACTCCAATATGAAGACCACCAGGTGAATGACTACTGCATACGGAATACGTTACGGAGGACTACAAACTACATCCACGCATCAAGCATAAGTCAGCCAGTCAACCCATTGGCTTAGACCTAGAACCTCTAATGGCCTATTCTACCTTTAATGGGAAGGGGGAGGATGGGATTCGACTTCTACGGTGTACGTAGTAGTCGAACGAAACATCGTACTTTTTGTTTATGGGGTGTGCGCGCGGTTCTCCTTTGCCCCCTCTCCTCTAATACGGATTTTGTGGAGGGTTGTACTCCGCGGCTTCTGGGCGGGTTAGTTACCATGGAGTATGGATGGAGAGGGGAGACAGTGGGATGGGCATGGATTCGTATACATCTACTTATCCTCTGGTTGTCGTGATCCAGTATGAGGACTGTGTTTAGTGTTCTTCAGACCCACGGCGCGGGGTGGGTTCTTCAACCATTTTCTGCTCAACATCCTACTATGCAGTGTAGAAACATTGCGACCTTGCCTACTTCATCGTCCAACCACAACAAAATAGAAACGTGTCTGATACCTAAGTAATATGGAACACTCGGATGCCATTTCCCGCATTCTCAGACGCAAACTGCAGGAACCTGAACTAAGCGAGTTGAACGGAAAGGAATTGGCTTCGGTCTGAATCTCTCCTGGTCATTTATCGACCAGCATCTGGAGTAGTCGACAGTAGTATGACGCTAGAAGGGCAATCGACGTCGCGATGTACAGTACCCTGAGCGTGGACCGCGGGACAAAGCGGCAGAGAAGTAGCTTAGGGTTCATCAAAGCAAAGTACTACTGAAGACAATCGTAGGACTGCACGTAATGTTCATGACCTGAGGTGACAGAGAGGGGGCATACTACCCCGTAGTAGTAATTGTAAGAAACCGAAAAAGAAAAAGAAAAAAAACTTCGAGAAGGGTTTGCGATAGACGAAGACACCATGACGATTGAGTCTGGAGAGGTGATCTCGGTCCCCCGATCGAGCGCGGATCTAAAGAGTATTGCCCCGAAGCGCTAGTGTGCCAATCATAAGGGTGGGGGGGGGGAGAGGGGGGATCTGCCAACCATAGGTTCAGATTATCAGACCTCAGGAGTGAGGACAGTCATGTCCGGCGCATCTACCCAGAGAGGTTAAGTCGTAGGCCGGGATGATGGCATAGAGTTACAGAGTAACTTTACTCGACCGAGAGGCTGACAGAAAACGGTACCTGCCCTGCCACCGGGATAGAAAGGCCATTGGAGGTCACCGTAACACCACACCGCGATATGAATTATGCTTTCATTATCCAAAGTCCTACTTTATTGCAGCGACAAAGAAGTAATCTAATCACGACAACTAATTTCAATTGCTCGTGTGTCAATGCGGCGAAAGTCCGGAGAGTCTTTGTTCAAGGCACAACAGCACTGCCTGCCTGCTTGCTCTCTCACCAATGGATGCGCGAGCAAGGGCCGAGCAACTAAGACAGCAGCCAGCCAGAAATACAGACTCACCCCATAGCTTTGAGTCCTCATTCTACTAGTGTCCCTAGTCGGGATCTACCGGTATGGAGTTTCTTTGAGCTGAATCAGCAACTAGCTAGTTAGTAAAGCTAACAGGACCCCGAGACAAAGAAAAGCAATCAATTCGAGTCATGAAATGAAGGCCGACGAGCTCGGCAATGAGTGTCTCGGGGAGCGTATCCAAAACGACATGGAGCAAACCCACAGGCGTCACTGGCGATACTCTAACATGATTCGACCATCGATCAACTTATAGCTGAACTCTGGATTGTCTGAGCCATGTGAAACGGACCCGATAAGAAGTCCCAGCGTGGTGGCTGCGACTCCGATCTGGAACCCAGTGAACCTCTTAGTACGAGGCCAAGGCACAATATACTCCAGCCTCAAATTCAAATGAGC